GGGCTGCGGCTTCGGTGACTCGGGATGTAAACACCAGCACACTTAAAAAGAAGTGTAACTTCGCCTCCAGGTCCTTCAAAAGAGTTATTGCCAAGGCAAAGTCAGAGCACATAGGCAGAATTGGCGAGAAACTAGTTCGCCTTCCTTCGGGAACCCGTGCATTCTGGTCTCTCACCAAGGCTGTCCAAGGGAATTTCTGTAAGCCATCACTACCATCTCTGCACAGGGAGGATGACTCACTGGCCCAAGACGCAAAAGACAAAGCCGACCTTTTAGGCTCTCTCTTTGCATCCAACTCGACTCTTGATGACGGGGGGAAAACACCGCTGACCATCCCGCTCCATGCCGTATGTGCTGTTCTCACAGCGCTCGGTTCGCAAAGCATTTCTCTCCCTGGACATCCAGAAGTCGAGTGGGCCTGACGGAATCCCCCCAATTGTGCTGAGGACGTGTGCTCCGGAGTTGGCACCGGTCCTAACGCGTCTTTTCCGATACTCCTACTCCCAAGGCGTAGTTTCGAACTCATGGAAGACAGCTTTTGTTCACCCGATCCCTAAAAAAGGCGACCGCTCAGACCCGTCCAACTATAGGCCTATCGCGATCACCTCCTTGTTCTCCAAAATAATGGAATCCATTATTAACTGCCAGCTCATCCGGTACCTTGAGGATCACCAGCTGATTAGTGACCGCCAATACGGTTTTCGTCGGGGTCGATCAGCTGGTGATCTTCTGGTCTACCTGACCCATAGATGGGCGGAGGCAGTAGAGTCCAAGGGGGAGGCGTTGGCCGTTAGTCTGGACATTGCGAAGGCCTTCGATCGGGTTTGGCACAAAGCGCTTCTTTCGAAGCTCCCTTCCTATGGGCTTCCCGAGAAATTGTGCAATTGGATCACCAGCTTCCTTGCAGATCGGAGCATCAAGGTCGTTGTAGACGGTGCATGTTCTGACTACAAGCCTATTAACGCTGGTGTTCCACAAGGCTGTGTGCTATCACCAACGCTGTTGCTTCTGCATATCAACGATATGTTGCTAACTGGTAACATTCATTGCTATGCAGATGACAGCACTGGTGATGCTCTATACACCGGCCGTGCCAATATTTCTCGGGAAAACGTCGCGGAGTATCGGAACAAACTTGTGTCTGAAGTCGAGTCTTTGCTGAACAAAGTCTCGGATTGGGGGCGACTAAATCTAGTCCAGTTTAATCCTCAGAAGACACAACTTTGCGCGTTAACCGCTAAAAAGAACCCCTTTGTCGTATCTCCTCAGTTTCAAGGCACTCCCCTTCTTGCCTCAGCCAGTATCGGTATCCTCGGAGTCGACATATCGAGTGACGTGCAGTTTTGTGGTCACTTGGAAGACAAGGCCAAATTGGCCACTAAAAAGCTTGGCGTGCTCAGCAGAGCGGGACAGTATTTCATGCCGGCACACCGAATGCAACTTTACAAGGCGCAGGTTCGGCCTCACATGGAATACTGTTCCCATCTCTGGGCAGGGGCTCCCCAGTGCCAGCTCCTTCCACTTGACCGCATCGAGCGCAGAGCAGCTCGAATCGTCGACGACCGAGCCCTTTCCGATCGGCTCGATTCATTGGCACTGCGAAGAGATGTTGCATCCCTTTGCATTTTCTTTCGCATCTACCATGGAGAGTGCTCTGAGGAATTGTTCGGATTAATTCCAGCCGCCAAATTTCACGAACGCACATCGCGGCAGAACTCCCGATACCATCCACACCATTTGGATGATTGGCGGTCCACCACTGTGCGATTTAGAAGAGATTTTCTTCCTCGCACGACTTCCTTGTGAAATCGATTACCATCAGCGATTTTTCCGGACCGATACCACAGATTACTAAATAGTTTACTAAAGTAAACAGATACATCACTCCCATACAAAAGCGAAAATACCTACGCTATAATAGCCTACAAACTTTTATATAATAATATCTGCTGTTCGCAGCGAGACGAAAATGTACCATAAGTACGCGCTTAAAGAGTCGAGGTTGTGTTGACCGCCGTGCGACTCACGTGCAAGCGCGTCATCGCACGAATGTGCTAGGGTTGTACCTATGATGATTATTGTAATAAAACGAATCTTGCGAAATAACCATATTTTTATTTGTCAATCAAATATGTTTGAGTTTTATAAAATGATTTATACATTTTTTTCCTTCTCTGATTTCTCGGTCATTAAATCTTATCGTTGAAAATATCCTAAATCGCGTAAATAATTTTAATAAATAATCATTAGGAAAACAGGAGCAAAGCGGAGGAAAATCGATGGTATGTAAAATGTGTAACACGCTGCTGCCAGGCCGATTCATTATGGCGTTGTCAAAATTATTTAAGAATGATTTTTTTGACTCTGACACCCATCCACTGCAAAATAATTACGTGGTTTCGGCATTTCGACGAGTAAGCGCGGGAACCGTGCGCGGTGCAAGTGCTCAGGCGGGCGTGCGGCAGCCCAATTTCGGTTGTATCGTGGGCGATACGCATAACGGTAGGCATATAACGCAGGGCCTTGAGCGAGTGACGGAGGCCTGCCGATACGACTTAGGGACCTTCAAGAAAAGAGCGTACTCCTTTTTAAAAGGCCGGCAACGCATCTGCAATTCCCTCCCTGGTGTTGCAGTTGTTCATGGGCGGCGGTAGTCACATACCATCAGGTGAGCCGCATGCTCGTTTGCCCCTCACGTATATAAAAAAAAAATAACAAAAATTTCTTCGCAAGGAATCTTAATATACGTATAACAGTTGTACTACGAAAACTTCTATGATTTCATACGATCGCTATCACGTACGGTCTCAAGGTCAACGCATTAAGTGAGCAAAACCATTAAACCATTTACGGAATATACAGAGTGCCACATCATTTCCGTCATGAACGGAAGCATGAAGTGAGCAAAGCGTACAAACCATATGCGGAATATACAGGTTGCCATATCATTTCTCTCATGAACGGACGCATGAAGTGAGAAAAACATACAAACTATATACGGAATATACAGAATGCCACATAATAATCCGTTTTGAATGGACGCATGAAGTGAGCAATACATACGAGCTATATACGGAATATACAGAATGCCACATAATAATCCGTTTTGAATGGACGCATGAAGTGAGCAAAACATACAAACTATATACGGAATATACAGAATGCCACATAATAAACCGTTTTGAATGGACGCATGAAGTGAGCAATACATACGAGCTATATACGGAATATACAGAGCGCCACATCATTTCCGTTATGAACGGACGCATGAAGTGAGCAAAGCGTACAAACCATATGCGGAATATACAGGTTGTCATATCATTTCTCTCATGAACGGACGCATGAAGTGAGCAAAACATACAAACCATATGCGGAATATACAGGTTGCCATATCATTTCTCTCATGAACGGACGCATGAAGTGAGCAAAACATACAAACCATATACGGAATATACAGAGTGCCACATAATTTCCGTTTTGAATGGACGCATGAAGTGAGCAAAGCATACAAACCATATGCGGAATATACAGGTTGTCATATCATTTCTCTCATGAACGGACGCATGAAGTGAGCAAAACATACAAACCATATACGGAATATACAGAGTGCCACATAATTTCCGTTTTGAATGGACGCATGAAGTGAGCAAAGCATACAAACCATATGCGGAATATGGTACTATAATAATATTCACACTCTAAACATTTGAAATTCTGCAGGAAATAGAAGATGCAATAAGTATCTATAGTAAAAAAACGCAAGAAGTCGTCAGCGATGTAAATATATATATATATCTTTATATATAAAAACAAGAAAGGGCAGAACAACGTCTGCCTGTTCACCTTATATATAAACTCTCTATCAACTATAGATACAGAAATGTTCGCTACCGTTCTTATGATTATTCATGAAATTTAATAACTTAATTATTTTGGTGATTATACGTACCTGTTGTATATTAATTAATATTATCTTTGTTAATTTACTTTACTCATGTATTGGTATCGAAAAGAGGCCAAAATTGTTTAGACTGTAGACGAGCTAATTACACACATAATTAATATTATGCCTATTTTCACCAGTGGACTTTTTTATATCTGTAATGAATGGATTTTTACAAATTTGTTTAATTTAATTGGGTTAATAACGTAGTACATTTGGGCGCAGTCGTGGTGCCATGTACATTCATTTTAACATTTAAAAAGGTTATATTCATAAATTATATACGAGGTTAAATTAAATAAATATATTCAAATTGAATTTATTTTAAAATAGAATATAAATATTTAATTTTATTACTGTAATTTTGCAACATTTTAATCAGTTTAACCATGCGCATAGTTGTTTTAGTTAAAATTGTAAAAATAGATTAAAGGTGAAACAATAGGTGGAAACGGGGTATTAGTAAAATAGAATCATGTTCAGGATCAGTCCAATTCGTGAGGCTATTGAAATTGAAAAACATCCTAATTTAAATGTAGTAGATGGCTGGGTATACCTCCTGCTTGGGATCCCATAATTAACAAAAGCAATCTACAGCATGACGTTGAGATACTGCATACTCGATCTTTACTCAAATTAGTATTACTTATTTAACTGCGAATTAAAGTACAATTGTGAAGCGCCTTAAGCGATTCATATTTATAAAGGATGTTTTTAACTACTACTTTTAGCATTGAAGACAATAGTAATAAAAGTTTTTTAAAAGTGGAATTTAATGCAAAGCTAAGTCAGGTCACGAAGACTGAAACTATCTTAATCTTTTTTATTACTTAATGTTTTTATTTGTTTTGAAAAAGAAAGGAGTTTCTGGTAGTGACATTGTTTATAGACCTGTGTACCATTCTGTGTAGTTTGGAATTAAAAATAAATGGTTGAAATAAAAACATTATAAAACATTTATTCGATGTCTGTATAAACAAAATTTACTACCTTAATTTTATTTAAAAAACCTATTTCACGTACATGATAAATGTCTGAAAACTGCGTACTTCGTAGACTACGGCATTTGTTGCCCTTTGGTCATTCGCCAGTAGTAACCTTTCATCTCAATTAGTTCTGCATGAGTCCCACTTTCTATTATTTTACCTGAAAAAAAAAAAGTAATGTGAATGAGCATCTATTTCTACTGGAGAGTGCCTAAATCATAATTGATGTACAAAAACGTCATTTTTACAACTTCAAACTAGTTTATCATGAGTGCGTTTTAGTAATTCAAAATTAACAGTACGGAGTGTAACATGCCACTTTTTCTCTTTTATCCTCTTCTCTTTTTCTGACTATCATCACAGAAACGAATAATTCCGAACTGTTGACCCGGAGTGTTTAAAGGTTTGATGGATTAAAATACTTTATTTTTAGAATAAGCGTGACAAACGAACACGCAGTCCTTCTGATGGTAAATGGATGCTGTGGCCCATAGACATCTAAATCTTCCTCGGCAACGAAATAAAATGCAGATGCGTTGTTGTTGTTGTGACCCCTGAGGACTAATAAGACATTCCTCGTTTTCAGTAAAAAGGGTCTCTGGTTCTCCTCACTCACTACAGAAAATATAATATTAAGTTGCTATTTGAAGCTGGTATTCTGTGAGAGTGTGAGCGCGTCCTTTCCCAGTCGAGCCGAACTATTCGCGCAATTTTAGTTGTATACTATATTCAATTAAAGAATTAAAAGTAAAAAGTAATTAGCTTCTGTCTCCTTCTTCAGATCATACAATTTTCGCCATTTCGTTCTTGAAATCACATCAAAGTTCTTGAAATTAAGGTTTTCTTTTTTAATATAAAATTTTTAAGTGGCGAAAATCTTAAAAACTATTACCTTTTTCTATAACACAGATAAGATCAGCATCCTTTATTGTAGACAGTCGATGAGCGATGGTTACACACGTGCGACCTTTGGCAGCTTTTTCCAGCGCCTCCGATACAGCCTAAAAGTAGAAAATTGTGTGGTTAATACTGTTTCATTTTATTATTTTATTTTTATTTCACAGCTGTTAAGCCAAACTTTTAGCCTTAATATTTATTATATATATTGGAATTTATTGAAATGCGGCTTTTTTAATATATTCATTGTATTTCGAACTTTTTACATTTTTGGTGGCAATTTAACACGTTCTTGGCGGTGACGTAAAACATCACGTGGAAAGATTTCCCAGATATTATCTGTAAATTACGTTTACTGATAATAATTATACCCCTCCCCCCCGCTATGCATGACGCCGACTTTATGAGATCCAACTGTGATTTCTTGTAAAAGGAATCTGCGAATACGTCGGTTGTCATTTTTCTCAGCCGAACCTGTTATAGTACACTTTACTATTTCTTATTCCTAGATTAACACAAAGTATCTCCGGTCCCACCAGCAACGAGTATAAGCACATATAATATATACCACTAACAAAAGTAGTTAATTACTAGAGTAGATTCTGTTGTAAGAAAGAAGTCGCGTGAAAAATATGTAAATTAAAATGTAAAATATGGAATTTGACAGCTAATGAAAAAGTTCACGACGGCTGTGGAGTCGCGGCTAAGCTGTGCGACTAAGGGTATTTTTCTGTGACAAAGACTTTTGTTTAAACCTGGTACTATCAATAAACCACATAATTATATTATATATATATAATAAAACTCTAACACGACGTCTGTCTGAACACGCATCACGGAAAAACCTGTGAATCAACCTGGATGGGATTTTCACTGACAGATAGCTGATGTTATAAGGAGTAACTTAAGCTATTTTTATTATAGCAAAAGAATTAGGGTTCCGCGCAAAGAAATTAAAACCCATAAAATCCAATCGCAAAAAATTCCACGTGGGTGAAGTCGCCGGAAACAGCTAGTGTATATATATATATATATATATATATATATATATATATATATATACACTAGCTGTTTCCGGCGACTATATATAAAATTCAGAATATATGCAGGTTGTCAGTCCATCCTTGCGCCCATGAATGCCGTACCTGAGAGAGAGCAATTAAGTTCGGAACAACAACACAGTATATTAAACTTGAATGAAAAATTTGCAACTTTAATATTTTTATTCTAAAGTAGTTGTTTATGTAGTTGCAATAAAAATGCAGTTACACATCTAGTCAGAAATAATATTCAATAAAAAAATACGTGTTCGCTATTTCAATAGAATGTGATAACTTATACGTATTAACATTTTCCATAAAATCATGAAAATCAGAATATCTTGAAAACCGTAACAATTTTATTAAAAAAAATTTGGTACTTCTCATAGGGTACGATCTCATGTCTCGCCACATTTCGTTTGTAGGACAACCTGTATATACTCTGTACCTTCTCCTCAAATTTGGCCTCGGATACAAATACTACTTGGCATACCTTGGATACAACGCGACAATTAATTTTCTATGTTCTAATTTTTCCCGACGAGAAAAATACTAATTTCTCTATTTGGTTCAGAAACACTTACACTAAAAATCTCAATGCACTAAATGTAACATTAGTCAATAGCCAATTTTTTTTATTTATCACATAATTAGTATTATTTATAAGTTTTTATCTTAATAATTAAGGTTCTCTTACTCTCTCGCTATTAGCATCAAGGGCTGAAGTTGCCTCGTCCAATAATAATAAGCGAGGCGAACGAATAAGCGCCCTCGCTATACAAACTCGTTGCTTCTGACCACCAGACAGTTGAGCACCGCTTGATCCCAGATTTGTGTCGTAACCCTGCAGTGCAAGAGAAAAGAGAGTTTGAGTTGCTTAAAAATTGTTCTAGATACTTGTTGCTCTTTCAAAATTGTCGCATTTATACATTTTACGACTTTTTAAAATTAATATTAACATCAACACGCGTTTTCGGAGCATGCAATAAACCACTATTACCTACCTGCCTTTTTACATTTAGGTTAGTTTTCTGCAATTATATTTACAAAAGCTTTTACAAAAAAAAAAACACATAAGCGAACCGTTTCGGATCACGACATCGTTATACATCAATAAGATTGAAGTAGCAGTTTTAGTAATATTGTTTGGTAAGATCGGTATAATTAACAATTTGCAAAGTAACTGAAACGTCGGGATTTCAAAACAAGTAAACATAAACTTGATTTAATCCATAGGATTAGTTTAATTCAATGTATTGTAAAGACGTAAATATTAGAAATCATTAAGTATTTCTGTATTTATCATCATGCATAACAAGTTAATCCAAGTATAATTAATTAGTTTATATACAAAGATAACGTTCTTTGTTTCTTTACGGTAATCTTGTAACTATCAAAATTACCTTAGGCAGCGATACGATAAAGTTGTGAATGTTAGCGGCTTTGGCTGCGGCTATGATCTCGTGCATGGACACCTTCCGATTGTTATCTCCGTATGCAATGTTTTCAGCCAAAGTGCGATCGAATAACACTGGCTCTTGCTGCACGACACCAAGTTGCCGTCGAAGTCGAGGGAGGGTCAACGCCATTCGAATATCGCGACCATCCAGCTCCTGAATGAAAAAAAAATTAGTGTCCTTCGTGCAGTTTTTCCTCATAATCTCGTAATTGCTAACTGCTGGGCAACTAGCACTTCCATCATCAACGTAACGGTCCATTTCAAGTCCACTGCTGAACATTGACATTTCCAAAGACTGCTGCAAAATATGTTCCTGAGTCACCTGACGCCTTCGATTTCTTACACGTCTTACCAGGTCGACAATAAATCTTATTATTGGTGGGAATGATTAGCCGAAGTCGTAACAAAATGTATACATATATAGTACCATACTCTTAATATTGCAACAAGAAAAAACTAATATATAACAAAAATAAACAAATATTGAGGGGAAAACAAAAGGCGATTTTATTAAGGCGGTTAACATTAACGGGTAGGGTGCACTATGATAACAAAGGATACTAACTTAGGCACTACAAGGACAACATACTTTAGACGGTAATTCAATAATCTTAATGTTCTTTAATCTGTTTCTGGAAGAAATGTAATGATTGAACGTATGATGATAATGAGCACGTTTAATCAAAGGGGATAAGGAGTTTCAAAGTCTTACTCTTCTACTACTTACGTCTTAGGAGCAAAGAAAGTTTCATCATAAAATGTAGAGGACTGCACAGGACACTAGAGGTAAAGATTTTCCTTGGACCGTAAGTTAAAATTATGACAGGAGATGAGCAATTCAAAATGTTCTTATAGATAGGGAGGATTTGATATATTAAATAAGACTCAGTAGAGAGCAGAAACAATATGAGTACTTCGACGGAAACGGATTGGGATCCCCTTGAGTTTATTGCGGTATTCAGAAGCATGGTCGTATTTACCAAGATTACAGAGATTTTGAATTCGCTTATGTTTATTAAGTTACTACTCAGTGATATCAAGATAACAAATGTCAGCATCTAGTCGAGTTGGGGAAGTAGTCAAGCAATTTTAGTGGAAATAGGTAAAAAGTAGTGAAGCCTCTAGAGTGAACCATACGTTGCAAGCACTTTACGGCTCAGTTCAAGAAAGACTCTAATTCAAAGAAATACCAAACCTTCAACGACGTCATTATTAGAGATAGGGATACCATTAAATGCAACAGATTGTAGTTGACATTTTATAATTAGAAAATCATTCTTGAACTGTTTCTTGAATTATGAATTTGGATTCTAAAGGGTTCACAGTTAACCCATTCAATAGAGTTCCAAAGAGTAATGTGCACACATTTTACCTGATAGCAAATGGATTCTGTAGCCCATAGATACCTTCATTTAATATAGGTTAAAAGTTTAAACTTTGATGCATTGTCTTCTTTCAATTTTTGGACATGTTTAAAATATATCTGTCGTTTCCTTCATAACGAAAAAGCCTTACTCCTAGCGGCTATAATCATAATTTCGTCCTTTGCCGGTACGCTTTGGTACACTACCGTCGCACCGACGGAGGTAGCCCATTAGTAGTAACATATTAAGTTCTATGTACCGAGAATTTGATCCATTGTTTGAATAATTCGTGCGATTAAGGAATGGAATTAATTTATCTTTGAGCATTTAATGAAAGTTAAAATTATCGATTTCATTATACTATAATTTAAATGAATACTTTAGAAGATATCACAGATTCAGAATTGCAGCCAACATAAAAAAAACACTCGCAACGAAACTGTTGGCCGACAACAATGAATAAAAATCGTTATTTTTTAAAGTTATTGCTTAAAGGGGCACAATTAATGAAATAATTATTCTTGACAATGAAATTGTCATGTCATGTCATGTCATGTCTTGTATTTTAGAAAATAACCTTCAAGAATTGGTCGACAATGTTTATCCCGAAATTAATAATATAAGTTCGAAGACTTAAAACTTGGGTAGGTAAGGTAAATAAATGACTTGATTCTCTCAAAAATTAATGCACCTACATAAATATACTCTGTGACTCTCGACTTGGGAGATGCTGCTCGTTTCCCAACAGGATTTCTCAAATCCCAGCAGCCCTCTGGATTGCCCACACATAAAATAGTTTTATAAGTAGGATATCCGTTCATTTTATTACAGAACCTTAATCCACACTATTGTGCAATGGCACACGTTTGCCGGAAAAATATAGAGTGTACAATACTGACCGGGTGTAGAACTGGATACGTTGTTTTAATTACCCGGATTCCATTAATACCAATAGATCTACCTTTCCACTTTTAACGACTGTAATTTCCCACAAAATTTTCATTTTCAATGACGATCAACAAATTACATGGTCAAACATTGAACGCTCCGGACTTAGAAAAACACTCATCTATTCTCGGAGCATTGAGTGATTTTCTCACGGACAGATATATTCTATGTCTATATATTTATATGTTAACACAAAATACTCGTATGTTCGTAGTGTGTAATGAAAAGTCAGCTGTAAATATCTCTATAATAATTATTATTAATTATTATTATATATTTACAGATCACCTAATACAAATGCAGACATCTTTATAAATTCATTAAATGATAATTTTGAATCTATAAGCATATGTAAAAATATCATATTATCAGGTGATAGACTCATTAATATTATCTCCAGAGACTTAGAACAAAGTTTGGAACGGAATAATTGATTAAAATATCTAGATATGTTAAGTACTCATAGTATAATGATGGGACATTGTTTCCCTACTAGGGCAGTTCTTTGGATCATATAATGCTCAAGCTTACGCACAATAAAGTGGCCAAGGTTGCAGTTTTGAACACGACAATAACTGATCATACTATGGTATTGCTACACATAACTAATATTAAACCTTAATCAGTGTATAGTAAAACAAAATCTGTTGTTGATTTTGAAAAAGTTATAATCGATTTAAAAAATAAAAACATACATGAACTGCTTATATGTAATGATCCAAATGTATTAACCAAATTATTGTTAGGAAAACTAATGCAATCATTAAAAGATAATAGAAGACTACTTCATGTACCTAAATGTAAACGTATAATTAAGCCTTGGATGACTCCAGGTGTGCTTCGTTGTATCAGGCATAGAAATAACCTACAGCAAAGCTCCGTCAAAATCCCAACGACGAGATTCTCAGAATTTCCTACCGAAGATACCGAAATTATTGCAAAAATCTAGTTAGAAATTTGAAACGAAAATATGAACAGAAGCTTCTGGAGGTCTCGGTTGGTGATTCTAGGAATCTCTGGAAAAATATTGCTAAAGTAATATATCGGAAGCACCCTAAAAGGGATAATACAAAGTTACTGCAGATTGGGTCTTGCGCAGGTGATTCCGTTGATCAAGTTAATGACTACTTTAGTTGTGTGGGCAAAAACTTGGCCGATGCGATTGTCCAGCCAAACAAGACTCAATTTATGCAAAATTTTTGTACAAATTCTCAGATATCATCTTTTGCTCTCTACGATACAGATACAGAAGAAGTACACTCTATTCTGATGGCATTAAAATCTAACAGTGCACCAGGCTGGGATAACGTCCCAGCTAGTTTCCTAAAACTTGTAAGAGCAGAAGTTGTGCCAGTTCTTTGTCATTTAGTCAATCTTAGTTTTCGCAAAGGTATATTTCCGTCTTTGCTCAAGGAGTCCCTATTTACACCTGTGCATAAGAGTGGAGATGAGAATAATATCAACAACTATAGACCAATTTCGGTATTGCCAACAATATCAAAAGTTATAGAAAAACTTATCAACAAGAGGCTCATAAGTTTCCTCAATAAGTTTCATATCTTATCCAGTTCACAATTTGGCTTTCAAGCAGGGAAATCGACTGAAAACGCTGTAAAAGCCCTTACTTTTGTAGTTGTTGATAATATTGATAAAAAGATAAACTGCCTCACAGTGTTTATTGATCTTAAAAAGGCATTTGACACCGTGTCCACCCCCATTCTATTGCAGAAGTTAGAAAACTGTGAGATTAGAGGTGTGCCCTTTGACTTGCTTAAAAGTTACATGACTGGTGGGACTCAGAGGGTAAAAATAGGTTCACATATAAGTCAAAAAACTAGTGTCACTTATGGCGTGCCGCAAGGAAGCGTCTTAGGGCCCACCCTGTTTCTAATATACATAAACGGATTCTGCAATATGAAGATCCCACATTCTAGCATATTCTCATATGCTGACGACACTGCCATTGTGTTTACAGGCGACTCCTTGAACAATTTAAAAATTAATACAGAGTACGGTTTGGATGTGATTTCGCAATGGCTAAGTCTTAACTTACTAACGATAAATACCAGCAAAACAAACTATATTTTGTTTTCCATAAAAAACAGTCTGCCTAACTTTCCCAGTGATATTAAGATTCATTGCTGTCAGCCGCTAGTTAACACGAATTGCAACTACCCCACTATAACTAGACTAACATCTACGAAGTACCTTGGTATTTTAATGGACCAGAGACTTTCATGGATGTCTCATGTCGAATTAGTTTCTGGCAGATTACGTAAATTAATGTGGATATTTAAAACACTAAGACACATTGCAAATAAAAAGTTACTTGATCAGATCTATATTACGTTGGCACAATCTGTTTTGATTTATTGTATAAGGATATGGGGTGGTGCTGTAAAAACTCATTTTATACAATTAGAATGAGCTCAAAGGGGATTGTTAAAAATTATGTATTTCAAAACACGTCAGTTTTCAACAAATTCATTGTATTTATATGCAGATTTATTGACAGTTCGTAAACTTTACCTAAAATATGGTTAATATTAAATGAAAATTAGTAAATTAGTAAATGTATACATTTCTTAGTATTTTTTTTATTTATGTATATTATATTATGATGTGTGTTAGTGGATATAGTTTTATATTTTAGTTTAAATTATTATTAGGTATCGTTAACAATTTGTCGATAAAATACTGTTTAAGCATATATTTAATATTTTTTTCAGTAAGTTCATTTTTTATTGGTTTGGGAATTTGGTTTAAAAGAGCGGGAATTTGATATTGTAATCTAAATTTTCCGTACATATTTTTGTATTTTGGGATAATCATATATGGATTAAGGGCTTGTCGAGTAAGTTTTGTATAAATACGGCTAATTTTTAATTCTTCCTTGTCATAATTTTCAAGTAGCAATAGGTATTTCACTTTGTCGTGTACTGGTAGTATTTTGCAATGATGGAAAGACCATAAGGATTTTTTTTATATTTATCTTTTATTTTGAGAGGGGTGATACTAAATGTATCACCCCTCTCAAAATAAAGGATGCGCAACTGTAGCTCGTATATTTTTTCAAGGTGGGTTTTATAAGTGCGTCCGTAACTGCTCAACCCGTACGAGACTATTGATTCGCCGAGTGCATTATATAGTAACAGTAACATCTGGTAAGGTACTTTACTCTTGATGAGATAAAATTTTGCAAGGATTACCCGTAGCTTATCGCATACAAATTCAATGTGATCAGTCCATTTCATACGATCATCAATTATTAAACCTAAAATGTAGGTAACATTTTTCTACTATTTCAATTTGGGGACATTCAAAGTTGTTATTATGGGCTGAATTTTGGATATTATGAAGACATGTGTGATTATGAGCTATAAGAGTAATGTTATGTTTTAATCTATTTTGACTGGAGCTGACGTACATCATTTTAGTTTTATTCGAATTAAGTACTCGACCTGTGTCATGTGAGCACTGCATGAGCTTCGTAAAGTCTTCTTGTAACACTTTTACCGCCTTATCCATATTGTGATGGGCTACCACCAGACATGTATCGCCGTCAAATTGGAAAATTTTTGAGTTTTTAATCAATTTATTGATATTATTCACGTAAGTGATGTAGTATAGCGATCCTAATACTGAACCCTGTGCTGTACCTTCACTTACCATAACTTTATTACTTAATGTATCCCCTACCTTGACATAATAGTAATGATTTTTGAGATAATCTCGACACCAGTCAAGAATTGGCCCTCTAATTCCACAGTCGTCTAATCGCTCTAGCAGTACATCATGACGTAAAGTATCGAACGCCCTACTATAGTCAATAAATAACAGCAATACATGTTTTTTTTCATTAAGATTTTCATATATGTTATAGGTAAATAGGGAAAGTAATTGATTAGTGCTTTTTTGTGTTGAAATCCAAACTGTGTGTCATTTAGAATATTATTCAGACCATAAAAGTTATAAATTTGTCTTGCTATGTATTTTTCTATAATCTTGTCTATTATAGGCAATATAGTTATTGGACGGTAATTATCGTAGTCCTGTTTACTTCCCTTCTTGTATATAGGTCTCACGATTCCAGTTTTCAATTCGTCTGGATATTTATTAGTCTTTATTCAAGCGTTAACCAATTTTGCAATAGCCGGAGCAATTTCTTCGCAAATTTGCTTTATATCTATCGCCCGTACTTTGTCGAAATCCGGAGCTTTATTAACGTTTAATGTTTTTATAATTTTAAGGATGTCTTTAGGTTGTTTCTTTTCGAAAATTAAATGTTACGTTCACAAGTTGTCTGTATTCTATTTTATCTAAAATATTATTTTTACTTTGAGGTATTATATTTTGAACACCACTATGAAATTTATTCGCAAAGTTATTTGCAATAATGCTTTCATTTTTGCTTTTGCCTCCAAACGCATTTAGGAGAACTGTATCTACTGTTTTACGTACCATACCAGTTATTCTATTTAGAATAAACCAGAGTTGTTTTAAATTATCTTTATATTTATTAATTTCATAATAGATGTATTTATGTTTGGAGGATCTGATTAACTTATTTGCATAGTTTCGCGCTTTATTATATTGTGTTTTTAATATTTTATTATCTTTGATCCATTGGAATAATAGTTTATCTCTATACTCACAAGCTTTTATAATACATAAACTTTCGGTTTTTACGCAGCACTGTGTGTGCATTTGATAGTCCGTCAGGTGATACATATCGCTTAGGGAGTCAGGTCTATTTATTAGCTTCCGTTACCAATATAATATCTATAGATGCGTTAGGTATGATATGGAAGAGGGGCTTACTTCTGATACGGGCGCATTATGCGATCAATAGAAGAAGTCTACCATGGCATATATATTTGTAAGACCGTGTTTATGAATAAACCTTTATTATTATTATTATAATATAAAAATGAATCGGTGAAAGTGTTGCTAAGCGCAAATCTCGAGAGCAGCTGAACCGATTTCGCTAATTCTTTTTTTATAATATTCTTTAAAGTACGAAGATGGTTCTTACGGAGAGAAATATTTAAAAAAATTGCCTGAAAAAGTCTAAAAACAACACTTTTCTATATTCCCATACAAAAGATTCGTAATTATACTTAGAAGTCAATTTGAACTTTAATACCATACCATAAAGTTTAAGTGTTAGTGGAGGGGTTCCAGGAAGGCAAAACATTTGAGTGAAGTTACTATCGTATAAATAATAATGTCAATATTTGTCAATATTTATACACACTGGCAGATAGCTGATGTTATAAGGAGTAACTTGAGCTGCTTTAATTTTAGGGTTCCGCGAAAAATAACTTCACGCGGGCGAAGTCGTGGGGAACAGCTAGTTGTATATAAAGACATACTGAGTAAATTCTAGACTCAATTTTCAGAAGAATTTTCAATAGAGAGTATTATTGTTCCGTGCCTCAAAAACTTTACTTTTTGCTAGTCTGGCTAAAATCCGTATCGTGAGTGCAGAAAACCGGAGACTCTTTTTACTGGAAACGAGGCATTCTATCCAGGCCCTCATGGGTGACAACGCATCTGCATTTTGATCCGTAATCGAAGATAGATGTAGATGTCTATGGGTCACAGCAATCACTTATCATCAGGTGTACTGTTTGGTCGTTTGTCACCCTTATTCTACAAAAAAAATATATTTTTCACTTTATAACATACGTGATACTTACGATGTTACCAGTGTCCGGATCGTAAAATCTCTGCATCAGTTGCAAAATTGTAGATTTCCCGCACCCCGAAGAGCCAACTAAAGCGACGGTTTTTCCTGCTTCAACTTTCAGGTCTATTCCTTTCAAAACTCTTTGGTGGGGCCGCGTGGGGTAGCTAAATTCTACTTCTTTTATATTGAAGCTACCCGTTGCAGTCTGCAGTCCAAAAATAAACATACTAATAAAATAATACAATCGTATTAATTATAAAATATGTAAAATTGAACACATGCACATCTGTACGATTTCGGTATTGGCTACAACATTTGAATCAAACAAAAACTATCAAGTACTAGGGTATCTACTATGAGTACTCGAAGTAGGTTTGAACCCTGTGTTCTATTGAAATTTGTAATCACAATACAGTCAATATCTTTTTTCTTTTTGCAATAAATTTAAGTGAAATTTTTAAATGATATTTGATAACTCGATTTTATGTCATTAAGTGAACAAAGTTAATGAGCACCAAAATTATAATTGTCAGTGGTGCTAGCTATAGATAATGCACATATTAATTCCTATCCCTGGGAATAGGACCTACGGTCTACCTCTGCTGTGCGTTATACCTCTGATGTCCCAAGACCGAAATGTGTGGATTGGTAAGTATAAAGTAAATGTAAAATAACAACCTATGAATATCTCTATACTGGATCTAGACCTCCTTTTATTTTTGGGAGGGCTTATGAGCAGTACAGAGTATGCCAAGATGCACCTACGTAGATTGGCAACCTGCTGAAAATAGGTTTCTCCCAAGGAATGGACATTATTTTATGTATGGAAGTTTACATAAATCTTCACCTTTAGGAGAGAATAAAGAATGCGCTCGCGCGCGCGTGTGTGTGTGTGTGTGTGTGTGTGCACTCGTGTGTGTATGTGTGTGTGATATACTTAAAATCTTACCCAATCTCTTTTATCCTTCAAACCATCTTCTGTTCTTACTTTGGGCTGTCTATGAATAACGGACAAAATTCTAGCGCCACAGGCTTTTGCTGAATTAAAGCTAGGTGCATACACCAAAGATTGTCCCAACATGTATGCTCCATACAATAAAGCTTCGTTTACGCTGTGAAAAAAATATAACTTCTGTACTTTAATTCTCATCATTACAAAAGTGGAAGAAAGACATCAACTGGAGAACTTGTTTATAAAATTTGCATGTATAATCAATGTCTAGGACGAAAATAGAATTATTGAAACCTGTTTGACCTGCTTATCGATTTAATGTACTGTACTCTTTTTAAATGGCAGTAACCAAACTTACAGTAGAACAATTTTATACTGGACTCCCTCGTAAGCGACCAACGTCGCACCATATACAGTAGCACAGCAGTAGGACATGAATGGAACGTAGACTCCGAGACCAAGCACTAATCCGCGCCATCTGGTCTTCTTCGTCACCGCAGAGCAAGCATCCATTAAGGCTTCTTCGAATTTCTTTAAAAATGTTTCTTCAACGCCTGAAAATAATGATTCGTTTGTACGACTTATAATTACATAACATTACGTACACATAGGTATTTCATGGACTGTAACTATCAATATTGCTTAGCTGAAAATCAATTTTGCTTTCTTGCCGAGAGTAATTTTATTTAAGTTCCTTTATATTTTTTGGTTTAGTTCTGAATGTATAATACCATGTGAGTGTATTGATAGCAATACAACTTATATTTATGTCTATGTCTATTTAACAATCTAAAATTTTTCCACTGATAAGGTGTACAAATATATCCTAATTACGAAGGGTTCGCCAGACAGATAGTACTCGTATACCAATACTACAGATTTGGCAAGGGCACTGTTGATCCTGGTATCTGATGTTTAGAGTCTAGCTTAATCGAGTCGGTTATTCCACTATTAATCAGTAACCACAAGATATTTTGGAGTTTATTGAGATCATCACATTTTCATGACATTGAGGCTGTAACTATGACATATACGTAAAGTTTATGATTTCAATGAATGTACTATGTATGGTTTCGTCCTACATATGATGTATTTCTTTACTTACTATAAGCCGGAGGTCGATTACATTTCCACCTGACGATAATTTAGCATTATATCATAATATATCCCCTATATAATTACTGCGATCATATTCCAAACGTCAGTCTGAGCGAAGCTCTCCAGCACCTTAAAAACGGCAAGTCCCCGGACGAGGATGGAATGATAGCGGAGCTTCTAAAAGCTGGTGGAAAACCGGTACTAGAAGTCCTTCAGAAGCTCTTTAATTCCGTCATCCATGTTGACATTACTCCGGAGTCGTGGAGCAGAAGAGCAGTGGTCTTGTTCTTCAAGAAAGACGACAACGCTCTCTTGAAGAACTACAGACCGATTTCCCTTCTGAGCCGCCTCTCCGTTCTGTTTTCGAAAGTCATTACGAATCGAAGTACTGAAGTATTTGTACAATAGGGCTACGATGGCTATCCGAGTACAAAACCAGAGACCGAAATCTATTTAACTGCAGAGAAATGTAAGACAGGGTGACGTTATATCCCCGAAAACTATTCACCGCTGCAACGGAAGACGTTTTCAAGCTATTGGACTGGAAAGGGCTCACCTTCGATTTGCTGACGATATAGTCCTTATGGCAGAATCACTGGAGGACCTAAGCACTATGCTCGATGACCTAAATAGTGCCACCCTACGGATAGTTCTTAAGATGAACAAGGACAAAACAAAGATCATGTGTAACATCCACGTCACACCTATGCCGGTAGTTGATGGGAGCACTAAGCTCGAAGTTGTTGATGAGTAACATATTTAGAAACATGTATTTACCTAAGCTTTGGACAGTTTTTATACTGACGACTGCTTCGGTAGCTATAGCAGTGGCTGACTCCATAGCGGCACGCTCGTCCATCTGAGACTTTTGTGACATAATTCCTTCTAGCCAGATACTTCCAACCATCTGTAAAAGAGAGAAGAAATTATAAGGATAATTACACATTGAACACCTAATCATATCGATAATTATAATAGAAGCAATATTAACAACGGATGGAGAGCCATGGTAGCTCAGGAGATAAGTGACCGCATAGTACTCGGGCACCCGTTGGAATCAACTACTACTCAGTTAACAGCACCTTCTTACACTGTTACTACAGGCTTGATGGTGAAGGAAAATATCGTGAGGAAACGTATATTTTTACCCAGATAATTAGATTTACTTCCCAGCCTTTATAATAAATAGCGCGATAATATTACATGTTCGTTTTGAATTTTCTAAATCCACGCTATGCAAAAGTCCCATCCAAATCCGTTCGCAAGCTTTAGGTGTGATGGTTGTTCAGAGAGACAAACAGACAGACAAATAGACGAAGTTACGCAAAATTGTTGTTTTGCCATCGATAGGTATTCTCCAATTAAAATTTAAATAAAATATTCAATGTTAGAATTCGTTCTCCAAGAGCGTAATATAATCCACTACGCCTTACGATCATACCGTGGGTGTAAGAGGCGACAGAGGGGGATTAATCGGGCAACGGGCAGCAACTCAAAATAATTAAAAAAATCTCTTGTTAATTAGTGAACCCCCATACATTTGATAGACTGTAATGAATGAATGGAAGAATGATCAAAGTAGTATTATAATATGTGAATAGTTAAGAGAATATCTGCTTACAATGGGTAAGAATGCGGTCCCAACTAGAGTCATTTTCCAATTATAGCAAATTGCCATTACAAATCCAACAAATACAGAGCTGGTTCCTTGCAAGATGAGGCCAATTCGTAAGCCTGTGGCTCCTTGAACTTCTGCTGCGTCTCCACTGAGTCTTGCACACATTGCTCCCACGGTGTTACTTTCTTTATCAAAGAAACCAATTTCCTAGAATAATGTAGTAAATTTTTATTTGTTTTAGAAAATCCTAAATTGTTCAAATTCATATTGGACATATAATGAAAATAAATACAGTATTTCTTTTTCTTTTCTCGTTCAGTTGTAATGATTAAATATTTAAAAAAATATATAACATTAATAATATACTAGAAAATTAAAACAATGAAATAAAATACATACTTACTAAAATAAATGCAATAAAATATAATTAAATAAATAGATGAAACCCAACCAGACAGAAGCCGGCAGGAGAGGTGAATGGCCGAAAGTTTGAGGGAAAGGGACAGAAACCGCATCGCACCGCCTTTTGCATATGAGCCTGCAGCGGTCCGACACGAAGTCCAAGTCTCGGAGAGGCTGATCGTATTAGCCCTTTCGCAGAAATGACTACAGGAATAATTTCAGTCAGCAGAGCATCTCACAAGATAAACACCGTGTGAGTCAGGTCCAGATAATTTGTTCAAGTATCTGTTTCGACTTTCACGAGGTTTTCATCATACGGAATGGTAGTGTCAATCAAAAATATCCTTGACTGTGCCCGATTCCGACAATATCAGACAAGAATCTTCAAGAATAAGCCTGTTTGTGATGATGCTCCGGTCCTAGAGCCTGACGCGGTCGTTTTCGTGTACGGTTTCCCGCAAGTACTTATTATAAGGCAGATTCTGATTGAGTTGTTCTGTGCCTGAAATGCCTAAGTGACTCTAATGCCTAAGTGATGCTAAGTGACCGGGATGGCGTTGTCGCCAGATGTCGATGTCATAGCTTGTGCTCTACAGATGTCGACGGTGCCATCTTTTGGCACCGTCGACATCTTCGTCATGTATCTTCGATAGTTGTTGTTCTTAATTACAATAATTACACTGTATTCTGTATCACAGACATAAGTAATCGGCTTACCAAACGAGGTCACCGAACCGTAGCCAGTGGACGGAGGTGAACGTGTTCTTACCATACCGGCCCTCAGTCGGAGATGCTTTTTACTGACGGGTCTTGTCATTGAAGAACACACAAGAAGAGTAAGCTCTTTTTTGCTAATAATGACGTCTTTGTATAATGGCTCATCCGACATGCTTCCGTGGCAAGTACATCCTCGCTACTGACGATCTCAGATGATACATCCTAATTGGACGTCATAGTAGTGCGGACTTTCCTATACAAAGCGTTAAGTTCGGTCTGAGCCCACCTGAGTATACCAAAGGCATACAGGAGGACAGGTATGACTCAACCCTTATATGCATGTGTCTTATTAACGTCCGATAAAATACTGTTAATCACTTTTGTCAGGCGTGCCTAAAATGCATGGGAAATTGACTGTTTCATACTTGAATCATTGTGGCAGTGTGACAGAGACATACCCAGGCATCGGTATATTTCAGCCTCGGAAAGGGTAATTATGCTGATAGGCCATTTCAACATGGAGGACTGTACATTTATCCGTCCCCAGCTCTATTCTGATAGAATTGCTACACTCACAAGTAATGTTTGGCGATTTCATAAGACGAGAGTGACTGGGAGCGAATAGCTTGAGATCGACCTTACAAAAAGGTGAATCTGATTTGTTTCTTAATTTTAAAGCTGAATTCCCTTCCCGGAGCCCTCCGATAAGGAACTGACAGGGTTCAGTGTGAGTAAGAGCCAGATTGGACTCAAACAATCTATCAAAGAAAATATTCCTTCTTATGGGGTATTCCGCAGCCGTCATCCGCTCGCCTCGATTAGTAAATTCGATTCTTTGCTATCGCTCGCCATCGACAGCAAAGAATCGTATTTACTGCCCCATACACTACTCGAGGAAGTCTATAATTGTACAGTTAACCTTATTCAGCTTGAGGACATTCTTTAGCCATATATGAGGCACCGAGTCTAAAGCCTTTCTGTAGTTTATTCAGACGACGGTTGCATTTAACCATTATGCCAATGACCGCAACAATGCGGAGTGGTTCTTTGGTTCAACGACCACCGTCCAGACATCCATTCTGTGCGCGCTACTCCTGATTTATGCCCAGGTGACAAGTGATACACGCGCTCAAAATGGATGTGAGTGTCATTATGTGGTGGGTAGACACCAAGTAGGTAGTAACCAAATAAGTGATCCCAGTACCGAAGAGCCTCGGGAGAGACTTTGAAGATTCTCTTAAAACTGTCGGGTAAGTACTGCGAGACACAACACAAACCCCTTCCAGTAGTAATGCAGACTGTAGAGTTCCGGACTTGTTTGGGGCCTACGGATTGCCACAGCTACGACGGCCGGCGTTATATTGATGGAGTCCATAAACGTAAAACTCGCACACTGACTCGCCACAACTTCCTTCCAAGGGCTCTCACTGTGATTTCACGTGCTCTGACCACAGGCCGCGCCGGAAAGCACAGTGTTATCTGTCTGTGTGTGTCTCGGTGATTCTCCGCGTCAAGTCGTCTTTGCGCTCCGTCAGTTTTTGCAACACACATTATTATGTTCTTATTAAAACATTTTATTTAGGCTATTTAGCAGCATAGCAATTGCTTTCTAATACTTTTAAATTTCTTATTTTTATATTATTTAAATATACCTGTCTTAGTATTGCTGAAAAATATTGATACCGTAGCCTTGACGTCATTTTTAACCCCGCATGGGTAAAGGTTGCACTTTGCAGGAACATTGACACTCCTGCAACAGCAGCTACTACTAAAAACAGGCCTGAATAGAGGTCTGCGAAATAAATTATTTCACTGTGGTCACGTATAACAAATATCTGAAAATACGAAAATCCTTTAAATTTTTTTTTATTAAATTTATATTACAAAGTTCAAAAATATTTATTATAATACTTACACCACTAGTGAAACCAAACAATAACGCAAAGGCTGGAAAGCAAGCGCCTTGGACAAATGCGGCGATAGAACCAACAACTATATAAGGCCACTCTGGAGCATTTAGTTTCAATAATTGCCAGTCGCTAACTGGTTTTACCTCCTGAGGATAAAAATTATTAAGTGTTTTTGGTTCACATGGTGGTGGTGTTATGTTTTTAAGATACGACTTTTTTAAGTTCAGATGTGCAATTATGTTTCTATACGTATTGCTCTAGTAGTTAAGTATATTTTATATTATATTTAATATACAACTTTCCCGAAGTAAGCTATCCTAAACAAAATTATAATTAGGTGTACTATAAATATTTATCCAAATATTTTCTTGATTTTTATTTCACTTTTATATTAGAACGTACCTCATCGTCGTCCTCTTTCTCTTCTTCTGATTCGTAATCTAGATTATACATAAAGTTCTGTAACCCTGATGACATCATTGAAGAAATCGAACCACGAGGTGTCATCCAATCATGAGATTCTGTCAATATTATGAAAAATAAAGATATATAAATATAAAAGTTGCAGTTTTATTTCTCAAGAAATTATTTAACAAAATATAATAATTTGATAAGTTCATCATCTACGGATGCTTGGCCCGCGGATTTGCGACCAGATATTTCCCTCTTTAGATATTGTAAAGAGTAAAGAGCCGTGGTAGCTGTGGGGCTAAGCGCTCGCTTTAACTTTTGCAGTACACGAGCAACCCTGGTTCGATCCCCGCCGGCACCAGTGAAATTGTTAATTGCAATTTTAAGTGCTGATTTACCACGTACTCAGCGGCGAAGGAAAACATCATTAGTAAACCTGCATATCCGAGAAATAAGAAAAAAATATTACGAAGACATGTGAAGGCCGCCAATACGCATAGGGCAGCGTGGTGGACTCTTCCTTGCCATAAAATTCCTCACAGAAATGAGAGTGAGCCCAGCAGTGAGACGTATATAGGCTAAAACTTTAATCTTAACTAGATATTGTATCTACATAGCAAGATGTATAAACCGTTATTTATTGAATCAATTTTTTTTGAATTTAACTTGATATTCGATATTCGACTCGTATACAATTTCCACGAGGCGTGATAATGTATTAGAGTTTTACGTACGTTCCCGTCAAATATTCTCAATTCAACACCTACAAATAGCCCGTATAATCACATTTTAGATGAAGTTTATTTTTTTGGATTCAAGGCCTACACTTCGCGTATTACAGTAATGTTACATTAAAATTAGTTATGGCGAATATGAAAATATCTTTCACCAAGTTGTACATGTAAGTTCAAGTTTTGGCTGATTTTCCCTGCCTTTACTAAGTGTACATTCACTCTTTGGTATTTAATTAAGAAGTATTTGCACTGCGTTTATAATGAGGAGAGAGTCTTATATTTGAGTTGACACGACAAATCCACGTACGATTTGACCAAGACATAAATAAATTAGACATAGACAGATTTCTGAATCAAGATTATCGATCCGTTTTAAGGACATTAAATTAGCTTGATTAAGAAGGGTTCCATGCTTAGAAATTATTAACCTCGTTTTAATGAGTGATGTCTGTGTAGTCTTCTAGTTGATCTTCGCTTAACGTCCACCCGGGGAACTAAAGCTGCTTCACCGAGCTCAGCATTCTCGTCAGTTTCTTCAGGCAAAGTTTCAATAACATCAGGTTCTTTGTTCTCATTGCCAGTAGTTACAAGTTTGTAATAAAAACCTGTAAAATAAAAACACTTATACCAATGTTTCCTTTAATATATAGTAGTGCTTCTATGTTTTCGTCTGATAGTAGGACGCTGTCTGGTTTACCTTTGGCTTTTATGAGTTCTTCTTGAGTTCCCTCTTCGATTATCACACCTTGATCCATGCATATGATACGGTCCGCATTTGATATCGTAGATAATCTACAAACAAAAAAACCACTCAAACTTTAAATATGTTTGTAATACTTATAGTTTAGTATGCGTTTTAGAATAGTGAACCAAGATTATTATTTTTGTTAAGATATTATAATAAATAATGACTTGACTAAATATTACTTTTTTAATTGGAAGTTTTCTTGTTCAGTATATATGGTGGTATAAGTATACCGTTAACGTTAAACCAAGCTAAATGTTAAATATAGGTACACAGAACGGCGATGGGAAATAACTTCAAATGTACAAGACCCTGACTGATCTGTCGGCCAAAAAATTGTTGTGAAAATCTTGACATAGCCTTCTTTATACATAAACATAGCTCGCTAAATGATCTTAAACTAGCAAGGCTAACAGTGAAATACCACGAATCAGATCTATATGTCACTGGCAACACGCACTGGTGTACACTCTTGGCTTTATGTTTTGAGGAGTAGTTGACGAGAAAATTAACGTTGTTCTCGATTAGAGTTGGTCTTACTTAGTCGGACAAGACAATAGGAATAGAGCGTAGGTGTAACATGGACGTTACACATAACATTGTATTTTCTTACCTATTCGTTGAGACACTAATGAAATCACTGTGCAATGGACCAGTTATCTGAAGTGGCAAGGAACCAGGCATGTATCTCGAAGAACCAACAATGGATGGGGGATTCTTGAATGGCAGCCTCGTGTTGGTACGCAAAGTGCAGGGCTGCCATCGAGTAACGTCGAGTGGCGACCTGATAAGACATGCAGGATGTCGATGGATGCAGGTGGCTAAGGACCGTATTTTTTACGTTCCTTGGTTGAGGATTTTTTAACAAGGCGAAACGCCTACGCATACCCGCATCGTGGGGTTAAGGACGCCGACCACTGACTAAAACGCCGTGGTGTTTCACCTTGACCGCTTACTGGCAGGGCCACGGGAACGCAATCGCATACAACCGCGGCTCCACCAACGCTGCAATTCGCATCACGCGCGCCTCCCTTCGTGTAAAGCATCTCCCAAAGTTCGTTACGCAACGGTCATTGAGCCAGGAAAGAACGATTACTCTGAATTAATAGATTTCCCGACCACAGCGGTGGATCTGGTCTATGGCTCTGCCACCAACCACATTCCGGTCGTGGAAAGTAGGGAGATTGGCGCATCGTAATATCTACAACTCTCGTCGAGTCACCTTCGGCGAGGCCTCGGGGGAGGCTTATTGTTTGATTGGTAAATATAACGTGAAGAATATCACCTGTGAGAAACCATGATTGTTGTTCTTCCGGCACTTGCCCTATCCAACGCCTTTTGGACTTCTCTTTCTGAATGAGGATCAAGTGCTGATGTGGCCTCGTCTAGAAGAAGGACTGCTGGTTCTCGCAATAGAGATCTTGCTATGGCAATTCGCTGCTTTTGACCGCCAGAGAGAGATGCGCCTCTTTCTCCTATTATTGTATCGTATCCCTTAAAAAATTGTCTTCTATTAGTTAAGACTTTTATAAATTAAATGTAATTTTTAAAACATTTTTACTAATATATTTTACAGTACAGTACAATGAGTAAGAAAAGTTTCTCATATATTTATTTCAATTGAAAATATTACAAACTTTTTATAATGTATTCGTATTGTTAAAAATAATTAACAAGATGTAGTTGACACTTACGTTGGGCAAGTGGGTTATAAAATCGTGTGCGTATGCCATTTCTGCGACTCTCTGTACCTCTTCCCTTGTTGCCTCTGGACAACCAATCGCAATATTCTCGTAAATCGTTCCACGGAACAGTACCGGTTCCTGACCAACAACGCCTGAAATAATCAAATTATTTAAATTTTTAGTAAATTCAATAAATAAAATCTTGCACTTTTTCTCGCCTATCCCCCATCCTCCAAATTCGTACAGTGCGATAATGAACTTCGTTCAAAAAATAAACCCGTGCGATAAATCGTCACGTAAAATTGGAAATTAAATATTTCTTAGTACCAGGGGTGCTATATTGCACACCTAATGTAAATATAGAACGATGGCAACACCAGGCTCAGTGTTATTTTTGGACAAGAAAGAGTCAGACACTTCACTGTGCGCTTTTAGATATTCTCAATTTTTTATTCACTAGTCATGCAGGTTTCTTTATAATATCTTTCTTTGCCGTCGACCACGTGGTAAGTCAGTACTTAAAATTGTAATTGAGAATTTCTGTGTTACATTTGTTGGGTATGCCGGTAGTTGTTAGGAGCACTAAGCTCGAAGTTGTTGACGAGTATGTTTACTTGGGACTAATAGTCCGACTAAGTAAGTAAAACTTCGAACGAGAGATTAATCGATGGATTCATCTAGGTTGGCCAGCTCTCTCTTGAAAACAAGATTGTACAGCCAGTGCGTGTTGCCAGTGATGACTTATGGATCTGAAACGTGGTCCTTCACTGCTGGTAGTATGACCGAGCTATGGAAGGGCTATGCTCGGAGTTTCTCTGCGTAATAAACTGAGAAATGAGGATGTCCGCAGTAGAACCAGAGTAACCGACATAGCTCAACGAAGTAGTGAGCTGAAGTGGCAATGGGCTATCCATATAGCTCAAAGAACCTGCAACCGATGGGAGTGAAAGGTCCCCGAGAGGCAAATCGTACTGGCAGGCGAAGTGTAGTGTAGGTGCCCCACTAGATGGAGTGACGACCTGGAGGTGGCTTAGGACCGTGCTTTGTGACATTCCTTGGGGGAGGCAGGCAGTGGACTTGTAAAATATAAATACGAATAACTAATAATAATATTAAAAGGTGTCGAGGTAGACCGAGACTAACTTTCGAAGACCATGTGAGCAAATTGCTCGAAGAGGGTAGGGTCAAGAGTACTCGGATACCTAGACGTGCATGTATGAAGAAGATAATGAATCTGAAAGAAGCGAAAGAGGTATGTAAGGATCGTGACACTTGGCGATCTGTTCTCTCTGGCTACCCCGTCAGGGATTGTGCGTGAAGATAAATAAATAATAATAAATCATGTTTTTTTAAGATATTAACATTACTCATACTCCCGTTTATAAACATAAAACAATTGTGTTAAAAGTGATTTGCTAGGGTAGTCAAATGGCGGATTTGAACTCACGACTGTCCGAGTATGCCGTGCGCTCCTTTAACTATTAGGCTACTGTCGCTTCAAATAATATGTATATTATGAAGGTGAAACTTGTGCGTCGTACCTAAACTAGATCTTAACCATCCCAAGTTGAGACTCCTTAAGTTTTTGCCGTCCAGTTTAACTGTCCCTATGTGCGGATCGTAAAGTCTTTGTAATAGTTGCAATATTGTGGTCTTTCCGCAACCTGAAGATCCAACCAGAGCGACGCATTCACCTGCTTTGATGTGCAGTGAAAACCCTTGTAGCACCTGTAAAGGGTTTTTAAGATTGTTATAGGCACACATCTCACGTGAAACTTTATTAGCACAAAAGTGTAAAAGGTAATAAGGTGAATATGGTAGAGGCTATAAAGATCTCATGGCCTCCGATGGTTAGCGGTATACTCTATTTCTTACATGTAAATATTGGGAATTATGATGGGCAGCTTGAAAAGAGCGAGGCAACCGGTACTGTGTTCTCGCTTGTGGTTACTACAAGATATGCCAAAAATATCTTGTAGAATTTGAATCACATTTTATTTTTCTTTTACAGAAGAGGGAACAAACGAGCATGCGGCTCACCTGATGGTAAGTTTCTACCGACGCCCATGATCAACTACAACACCAGGTGAATTGCAGGTGCGGAGCCGGCCTTTTAGAAAGGAGTAAACTCTTTTCTTGAAGGTCCCTAAGTCGTACTGGTCCGGAAAAATTGCCGGTGGTATACAATTCCACAGAGAGGTTGTACACAGTGGAAGCGAATAGTCCATATTTAGCAGTGAGCGTAAATTGGTTGAAAGTTTTGAATGTAAAATTATCATCATCCATCATCCTTTATTACCTAGTCAGGTCATAAGTATTGTCACACAGTAAAAACTTTTCTTTTAGAATGCTGGCCACAAAAAAGTTTATTGAATTCGAATTTCGAATTGTTTATGAAAATAAAACTGTATACTTTATAGAATTTTACTCATTTTTAAATATGGAGTGGACGCTTAAATAAGACCGTGTTGCAGTTATTGCGTTGCATCGTTGCGGTTACGTGCCAATTCAAATTTTTGACATACTGAAAAATTTGAATATAACCAAAAGATTCGTTTATCGTACCATCAAACGATACAATGAAGACTCTAGTGTAGATAACAGGTCAAGAAGTGGTCGCCCTCGGTCTGTTAGGACTCCAGCAGTGATAAAAGCTGTGAAGTCGCGAATTCAAAGAAATCCCAAACGTAAGCAGAAACTGTTGGCCCTTCAGATGGAGTTAAGCAGAACCACGGTGAAAAGGGTGTTAAATGAAGACTTAGGGCTTCGGGCATATCGAAGAAAAACAGGACATCGTTTGAATGCTCGTCTAATGGACCTGAGACTGAAGAGATGCCGCGCTTTGTTGAAGCGGTACGCGGGAAAAAATATCGGGAAATTCTTTTTTCGGATGAAAAAATTTTTGCCGTAGAAGAGAGCTACAACAAACAAAATGATAAGGTGTACGCACACAGTAGTGAAGAAGCGAGCAACCGTATTGCGCGTGTCCAACGAGGTCATTTTCCATCCTCGCTCATGGTATGGTTGTGAGTTTCTGATTGGGGCTTAACAGAGGTACATTTTAGTGAGAAAGGTGTAAAAACGAATGCAGTTGTGTATCAAAATACAGTCCTGACGAACCTTGTGGAACCTGTTTCTAATACCATGTTCAATAACAGGCACTGGGTATTCCAACAAGATTCAGCGCCAGCTCATAGAGCGAAGAGCACACAAGACTGGCTGGCGGCGCGTGAAATCGACTTCATCCGGCACGAAGACTGGCCCTCCTCCAGTCCAGATTTGAATCCGTTAGATTACAAGATATGGCAACACTTGGAGGAAAAGACGTGCTCAAAGCCTCATCCCAATTTGGAGTCACTCAAGACATCCTTGATTAAGCCAGCCGCCGATATTGACATGGACCTCGTTCGTGCTGCGATAGACGACTGGCCGCGCAGATTGAAAGCCTGTATTCAAAATCACGGAGGTCATTTTGAATAAACTTTAGTGTCATAAGAATCTATGTTTTGTTAAGTTTATTTTAGTATATAAATGGTTACATAATGAATAAACTTGTTTCAATTATTTTATATTAAACATGTGACAGAATTTAGGACCTGACTAGGTATACCATGAAAATAGTTTCGCCTGAAACTAAAACTTAACTTACTCCTTAAATTAAAGTTTTGTATCTTTATGTAAGAAATGTTACACCGACCTATTATTGCTGTTAGATAATGTTTCTTTTAGTATAAACATGCGCAATATGACTGACAAAAAATATAAATTCAAAGACATACCTTAACATTTGGTCTAGAGGGGTAGCTAAAATGCACATCTTCCAACAAAATATCTCCTATAACACGACGAGGTGACAATCCACTTTTATCCATGCTATCTATGGCAGGTTCTCTGTCTAGTAGCTTAAAAATACTGGCTGCTGCTCCTCTAGCGCCTGCGAATACTTCAGCATGAGGTACACAAAATGTTATGGACTGAGTGGCCATGTATACGCTGAACAAAATCTGAAAAAGAATAACGTAGGTTCAATTGTCTTGTGAATTTTTTGAAGCCTGTGCTGAATTTTAATGACCAGCTTTATTATTATAATACAACCGATAAACAATAATATCCGGCTTAAGCTTGTCGAACAATCATACCAAACCCTAGTCTAATCGAAATACTCGGAAAAATTTAATCTCGACGTAAATTCAATAATACCACCGTGTACCAAACCACCGAAGTTGTATAAGTCACGCAAAATACACAAACCGAATGCTCCACTACGTCCCATAGTGAGCCAAATTGATTCACGAACGTATAAACTGACGCAATACAGCACAAATACTGTCACCACTGAGAGGGCACACAAGAGCACATACAAAGTGTTCATACCATTTTATCAGTGAGATAAAAGACCTACATCTTGCTGACAATGAAACTATGGTCAATTTTGATGTACAGTCACTATTTATATGCCTAAATGCGAAGAAAACAACATGCCTGCGGAATATGCAGTACTACTTAGTCATTGTCTCACAACTGGTTATCTATTGTAGAAGGGTGAGTTCTACGAGCTAGTTGAACGTGATGGGCTCACCTGTATCTCCCATTGTCGCCGATATATTCATGGAGGACTTCGAAGAGAAAACCCTTCTCACTGCATCTGTGTATCTTAGATTCTATAAGCGGTACGTAGACGACACTTTCACAATTTTACCAACAGATCAAGTTACTACATTCTTAACTCCATAAACTCTAAAATTCAATTCACTGTAGAGTTAGAAGCAAATAATTCTTTAGCTTTCCTAGATGTTTTAGTCACTCGAAATCATAATAACACCATCAGTCATATATATATATATAAAAAAGACCCATACTAACCGATATTTAAACGGTGAATCTCACCACCATCCTTCACCGTTAGCTACCGTGGGAAAATATTTGCTTCAGAGAGCACAAGGGATTTGTGACAGTAAACACCTGGCCACCGAGCTCCAGGACGTCAAGCAAGTTTAACAATACAACAAGCTCCGGATCCCGCGCCTCTGTCACAGTGACCGAGTGAAACTAGCCACAGTGTGTGCCTGCTGTCGGAGGAGTCACAAACAAGATTGGCTACATCTTGAGGGCATCCTCAAGAACATACTACAAGCCACCGAAGAAAAGATTAGTCAGTTCTTACCATCCGTCAAGTGTAATATTCCTGTACAAGATACAGGAGTATACGAGCTTGGTAATGAATGTGGTCTCTCTTACATAGGACAAACAAAAAGATCCATTAAAACCCGCGTGAAAGAACATATCACTAATATGAAGCACCGACGCACCGGGAAAGCTGCAGTATGACAAAATTTCAGGATCGCCACAACCATTATATCAGATTTGATAAACCACAAATCCTCGCAAAAGTACATCGATCTCTACCAAGAATGATTCGCGAGGCTATTGAAATTTAAAAAAAAACAATCCAATTTCGATAGAGAAGATTACTGGGTGCTACTATCTGCTGAAGATTCCATAATTAATTTAATTAAATCCAAACCCAAGCAGATAGGTCGAATCAAAAATTAATAAGTATAAGTTGAAGGTAGCCTTCCTTAACTATGACATCGGGACGTCAAAAACCTCAGCTACCCAGTGACCATGGGCGCTGAAAAGTGCCCGAAACTTCGGGAATTAAAAAAAATTAAATTAAACGCGATAAATACCGTAAAAATAGTTTTATTACATTTTAAATATTCCAATAAAATATTTTCCCTGTTATGGACATACCATTTCTTTGTAATTTATCAAGAAGGATTCCTTCTGAACCCTAAAAAACTGTGTACTGGCAAGTATTCTAACCTACTAGGATACATGATGATTTCTTAAATTATTTACGTGGACACCACACATTGAATAAAACTACTTTTACGGATTTTATCACCCGTGACCATGTGTGCTGGAGAGCGCCCGAAACGTCTAATTAAAAATAAGTTTTTTTTTTACTTATTATAAGCCAGCCGATGATGGAAAGGAGAGGGAGGAATTAAAGCGTGTAATTCCTGCGCACATTCACCAAAATGCATCCTATAGAATACCGGGAGACTGGCAACTCTTCGCCTATGCTCGAAGCTAACAAGATTAGTTTCAACCTAATCAAGGGCACCAATAAGCCTCTTAGCACGTCTCTCCACTGAGTCCAATGATGCCAGGTGGCATTTTGCAGCACCAGCCCATATATATATACAGGACTTGCGCTTTATATAAGGTAAAAAGCTGCCCTGGCGTGAAAGGTATCCTGATGTATTTCCGAGACCACAAGTGGGATCCTCTGTTGAGTCTCCGACATATATTAATAAGATGTGTTCATTATACTTACACTGAATACTACTCCAACTAAGTATTTTCGTTCGTCTGTAGGTTTCTCCCAGTCGCTGAGGATCAGCCTGGCCCCATACGTAAGACCAATTGCGTTAAGGGAGTACGTTAAAACCCAGTTGAATCCATTGCCAAGACCAGTGTATAGTCCCCTCTTTCTGCCATAACGTTCGGCCGGTTCTAACAAACGGCGATATCTGAAATTTGAATTTTACTCTTAATGTCGACAAGACGTCGCTGTATTTTAAAATTATTTATTGCCATAACATTATAAATTAGAATTCGATTAAACCCTCGGTGCCGGTTGATGAAATCATAAATTTATATTAAAATCTGTCTTTTATTGTTACTTAGTAGCGCCATGCTTCAGCTATATTATGGATATAGCAAGACTTTTTACTGGAAATAAAGTATTCCATCTTATGAATGGAAGGATGATAACGCATCTGCATTTGATTTTTATTCGAGGATATGTAGATGGCTATGAGCCACAGCGTCTCCTAGGTGGACTGTGTGCTTGTCTATCACTCTTGTTCTATAAAAAAGAAAGCTTTTTCGGTAGGGCAGGGATAGGGCAGAGGCAACCTGGGTATAAGCGACTCAATGAAAATATGTCAGAGATAAAAACATTTTTGTATGAAACACTAGCTGGTAATAATTTGTTTTGAAAATACGATTATTTCAAGTAAAAATTCGAATTATGAAATTTCCCAAAATGCTTTGTATCATTTACAAGGGGATATTCTTGTTCTGGTACTTGTGAATATATATATAATAAGTAACGACATCGACACTTAAAAACTCCACCAAGCGAATACATAAGTACCAAGTATTAATAACAAAAATTCAAACTACTTTCTATATATTCAGTTTGAATTGTATTGAAAAATACTTTTACTGGTGTTGTTCAGCATTCAAATTTATAAATAAAATGTTTTAAAGCTAAAACCCATACTTTAAAGTCACAAACCACTGTCCGTTCTATGACCCTTTATAACTAACCACAGTAGCTAACGTTGACTGCGTAGTCTTTTGTTCTTTGATCTTATCATTATATTTGTAGATACGCAATTGAAAACCAGCCGTCAATTATGTGTCTGTTACAATTAAGGCGCACTAAGATTATTAAATCTTTTGCAAAAATTTACAATGCAGTAATAAAGTACAGTTGTACTCTTGACAATGAAGTAACATAGACGACATCTTAGAGATTCAGCCGGGGTATAAGCAAACTAATAAAGATTATAATATCATAAAATAAACACACGCGTTTCTTGCTTTCATAAAAGATTAAAGTCAATTGCAAACAATTTATCAGCAATTCACAAATATGTAATAATTTTTAGCACACTTTATTAAATATAACTTTGTTAAATATTTATATAAACTATTGTCTTTCATGATAATTATAAATGTGAAACAGAACGCACTTTCATATTTTCAGTTAACACATAAAGTCCGACGAATCATATTATAAATCTTTTAAAAAAAATACTAATTTCGTGGATAATGTAATGCTGCATGGGCATACCTTAAACCAGGCTCCTAGCAATAAAACATTAAAAACCATGGTAAGAACGTAGATGGTGCATGTAGAAATCTAGCAATCTAATGTTCATAATGTTTGCTGGTGGCAAACACGATCTACACGGATAACTTGGCCGTGGTGGCTATCTATCTTCGCCACCGATAGCACGGCCTTTTTTGGCTACACATTTTCTGTTGGGAGGTTAATTTATGGGATTCGGATAATGAATTTAGAATAAGCCATGTATACTTTATTTTTTGAAAATTGAACTGTTACATATACATCGGAGGTTGACTTCATTATGCACGTCACACGTTGGCGCACAATGAACTCAATAACATTTTTATTGTTAATGTCAATCAGGAGTCACGTGAGTGGAAAAAACGTGAATTTCATCCGATATGTACTTTTGTTTATCGCATAAACAAATACGTTAGGTGTATTGGTGTACTGTCTGCAATTTTGGGCAATTAGGTAACTTTTACGATTGAATGGAATATAGTGAGCCGATAAATACTCATATTTTTGTATCAATGAATTTTTTTTAAATTAAAATTGTTTGTTAATTAAAATGTCCTGCATAGTTATTAAGTAATCGAAGACATCAATATTCTCGGTACGCTTGAATATTTTAAACAGATCCATAAAAAATATATTATGAACATTTTGTAACTACAGCTTCGTTTATAATAGATTCACTTCATACTTCATTTGAAAAACTCAATGATTCATGTGAAGGAGGTAGATCTCCTATTGCAAATCAATTATGAAGCATTTTCTTAACTTCTAAATTTGTCGTCCGTTATCATTAATGTGTGTTAAAAAAAGCTTTAATTTTAGAATAATTTAAAGAATAATTAAAAATTACCTGTCTACTTCTTTGTTTTCTCCGCCAAATGCCACAATCGTTCTAACCGATTTCAATACCTCCTCGGCTTGCTTGCCGGCGTGGCTGTATGCGTCCATCTCTCTAAACGACGATTTCGTTTGATACTGTAATGTAATATAAATTTAAACAAAATAAGAATTTAGGCATACGTTTGATCGATCAACGTAATCATACTTACATTGGACAAAATAATAGATGCAGTGATGGAGAAAGGCACGACAGTGATACAGGCCAAAGTAAGTTCCCATCCCAATGAAAATGACTGACACAAGCAAATAATTGCTGTCCCAGCAAGATTTGCGACGACGCCCAACTTATCGCCCATACCTTCCTTTAGTTTCATCATATTTCTGACAAAAGATTTTATTCATTTATCATACTCAATTAAATTAAACCAAGAGTTATATTTTTTATTGAATATATTAACACTACATTTAAAAAAACATAAAATAAATGAAAACGTCTAAGAGATTTTATATAAATAAAAACATCCGTGGTGCTAATATACAATTATAGGATGCCAAAATTTGCAAAACGGAACACATAAAAAGTCCTCGGTCTCTATCTGTCTGTCAAAGACGTTCTTCGATTCTTTAATCATACAGACAACTCCAAAAATGATGGAAATGTATTTAATTACTGATTTCAATCACTCTCAACCATTTTTATCACAAAAGTATACTATGTAAAGACACCTGCATATTTATTAAGTAATATTATTTCAAAAGATATGTTTTGCCTTCATGGTTGTATCATTTAACATCCTTTACATGAAAATAGATCTTCTAAAGAAAGAAAAACATAACTCTCTTTTATCAGGTCCGTATTTGAATTAAAATGGGTCTCTATATTGTATTGTGTCAATCCGTCTTACACTTTTTTCGCGATTACACGGATAGAGAGACTGACAAAAAAATTAAAAACAAAAAAATTAGTTTAGTATCTCTTACGACTTGCAGATTTTTTTTAGGAAATATTAGAATTAGAGACACACATTTCCTATAATTTTTTTATAATAATACGTAAAGATTATGGAAGAATCGCTCGAGAACCATGGCATCATTAATTCATGTGTAATGAAATGACATTTATGGTGTAGACCAGGCCAGGGTAATCTTAGTATGGTAGAGTAAAGTAATATTTTTCTCTGTGAGTAAAATAATACCTTTCGGTAGAGAGTAAAAAGTGGTCTGTGGTGTAGACACTTTTATATTTTAATTTTTTTATAGGATAAGGGTGACAAGCGAGCACACAGCCCACCTGGTGGTAAGCAGTTGTTGTGGCCCATAAACACCTACATCTATCCTCGTTTGCGAAACAAAATGCAAATGCGTTGTCAGCCGTGAGGACTAAGATGGAATGCCTCTTTTCCGGTAAAAAGGGTCTCCAGTTCTCTACACTTACCATACGAAACACAGCAGAATTAAGCTGCTATTTTAAGCTGGTATTCTGTGAGAGCATGGTCCTTCCTCTGTCGAGCCAACCCATTCGTGCTACAACTATACAATTAATATAACTGCAGCATGACTCTACCACGTGTGTAACACGTTTTGTACATTGTGGCTATGTTTTTATTTACTTTTAGTATATATACTATTAATGTCATTTGAGAAATAAAGCGATGATCATTAATATGAATGTCATGTCCATGTAGTTGAAAGAACCGACAATAATATGCACACACAGTAGTGGTGATGGCCTCCCACTAGATGGTGTGAAGACCTGATAAAAGTTGCATATGGTACACACACATGACTAGGGGCCAAAAGGATTTGGGAAAAGGTTTATGTTCAGCGGTACTTAGCGGTACGTATCAGCGTCTTGAAGAGTTGAAGTTACAGTGGTAAAATTCTTACCTGTGAAATAATTTTGACATCGATACATAAGCTTCTTTGTTGTGTAGGCATAAATTTATTCCCCTAACCACAATTTATAACTCGCAGAAAAACCTTTTGAAAACCTCAACCCGGTGCGCGCAGACGAACTCTTCAGAGGATGGACCGATTTTGGAGGAGGAGGATCAACTGGATGGAGCAACGACTGCCCTCAACAACTGTGTATTTACTTTTGGATACTTTTACTCACTCGGACATTTTTGATGCCAGGTTGAACTCGGAGTCAGTGTCGAACCACGACATGTCTTGGCGGAGTACAGCCTCCAGAAAGAGCATTCTTATCCTTGTTATCTGATAAATATATTCAAAGTTTTTATATTTTTGTATAAATTTTTTTAGGATTACTTATTCATAAACTCAGTCCTGAGAGACGAGCGTCCGGCGAGGCGTGTGTTTGGTGACACGTTTCGCACATAGAATTCAAACGGCCGCCATTCAGAAAACTGTAATTCGTGTTTTACCGTTTAGTGGCGGTGTAAGAATATACACCACACCATACCGTTCCATGGGTGTCGTAAGAGGCGACAGAGGTACACCATCCAGAAGATGGGCATCAGCGTCTTTCTAGTAAAAAATAAAACTGCAGTGGCGACTACGGCAAATATGGGGGATATTTGCCTATGAAACAAATAAACATAATTGACGTCCTGATGTCATAGTTAAGGAAGGCTACCTTCAATTTTTAATTATTAATCTTGAAGCCTTGCAGTATGTTTGGATTTAATTTTATTTATTATAGAAGTACCCCAAGTACATGGTTGGCACCTGGCCACCTTTTTCTATTTAAATTAGGAACACCACAGCAGTGCAAACACTGCTATTTAGCGACAAAAAAATTGTCTCTTCTGTGCCATTAAAAACTTAATGGTACCGACCCATTAACAGCTTTTGCCGCCAAATATCAAATAGCCTATCCCATAGAATACTATAATACACAATGGCCTTCCTTGGCCTACACAGACGAACTACAAGGCAGAAAAGTAGTCCTATTACCTAGTCAAAAATATGAAAATTCGTTCAAAACTGTACCTTATTATTTTTTAAAGATTTTTAAATATTACTTGTGCTTATTCTTACTGTTCTATAAGCCGTAGAACATGTCAAAGCTGCACACAAATCACTTTAGTAAAATGATTATTAGTTTGCCTTCTAATCGAGATGCCTAGCGAGACAATACGATACAAGGTCATCAATTGAATCAATTAATTTTGCTATGGTTGCACGGGTTGCAGAAAATCTTCGTAGAACATATTCAAAAAATATAACGGGTGCGCCGATTGCTAGATTTGTTGCCTATAATTTACATTAATTTGTTCACTTGAGTATTGTCCGACAAACTTTACCCTTGAATCAATCCTGTAAAATGACGTTAATAAATTTTTGTTAAACTCACTTGTCGCAATGCGCTCCAACTGAGAAGTCCGACAGAAAGAACGCATAATAATAGAGAGATGCCGATAGACACGAACATTCCTATACACATAGCTTTTGCATCTTCAACCAATGCCTTCATGTTCTCTTCGTGTGGTGCATTTTCTCTGAAAACGGTTTATGGTTATTAAATTCATTTCATAAATTTTAGTATTTCATCACATTCTGGTATTATTACTTAAATGATTACGTTGATATAAAAAATAACATATTTTTGTATTTTTTTTTTGATCGATTAAATTTTGAATTTAATTTGATATTGACAAAAATTTACGACTTACAATCGTCTCCCGCCGCCAAATAAAGTAGTTAGAGGCAAGTAGCTGGAAAGCTGGTCTTGATTTGCCGTTCTTTCGACGAATGACGTACTGAGCTCACCAAACTGCACCAAGTTGTAGCAGACTCCACCACCACTGAGAAGACCGAACAAGATGCCGAAGAGCGTTGCGCACAACTCCGAGCATTTTGCATAACGAAACTAATAAAAAAAAACAATAATATTATTTTCTTCTTTAATTTGTATCATTAATCTTAACAGGTTGTTGTTTAAGTTAATTAATAACATTTAAAAATATTGTCAGGTTTAGGAAGACTATATACGAAGCGCGGCAAGATTTATGGTTTCTAGATTGCGGTGAATCAATTTCGTCTATTCCAGCTTCAATATACATAGAGTGGCAACGTGAAGTAATAATGTCCTCCGGGAGACCAGCCATATACGCAGGACAGGATTATAATTCCCGAGTGTATGCGCAAGAACATTCTATGCATTCTCTATTCCTTCACCCACATATTTTATTTGAAGGCTATCCAACATGAATCGAGAGTTTAAACACAAGACTAACGGCTTTACGTGCTCTGAAGGCACTAATTTCAAAGGTGCAAGAGCTCTGCTACTTTGATCGTCAATTCACTTTCCAAGTATGGCGTAAGTATGTTGGCAATTGTAAATCCTTAAATATGTAAAGCCCATGTCCCGCAGTGGACAGTTATGGTCAAGCGAAGAGACAAAAATACCTAGAGCCGAAAAGGGGAACTATGTTTAGACAACGGAGGGTCTGCCAGTGCTTGATTACATCTGGTGGTAAGTGTGGATGAAAACATAGAAAATAAATTAAACTGTTTTAGCGTAACAAAAACTTATTTACTCTTTCTTCAAAGACACCCATATTGTAATCGGATGGAAAGACTTTTATAGTAAGCATTACGAAAGGCTACTAACTTTTTTTTATAGAATAGGGTGACAAACGAGCACACAGTCCACCTGATGGTAAGTGGTTACACCCATAGACATCTACATCTATCCTCAATAAAGACTCAAGATGCAGATGCGTTGTCACCTGTGAGAAATGCCTCTTTGCCAGTAAATAGGGTCTCTTGTGTGAAACATTACGGTCTGGTGAGCTTTAGTGGAAAGGGAAGGATGAAATCATAAATTACCTAAGCAGATTCTCCGAAATGTATTTGGTAAATTATTTGAATTCGAGAGGGTTTCATGTACTGCAGGATGACGATCTCTAAGACTTTATCATTCAATCGGTCGACATAAAAGTAATTATCAATTCTGTGACGACTCTACCTCCGTGAACTACTCGTATTACTAAAAATAGAGCAAAAGCGGTTTCTAGTCGCTTAGTTATTAAATTACTTACCACGCATTCGAACCAAATGGTTTGCTACATCGTTCATTATGCGTACAGCAAAGGAGTAGAATAAGTTGTCAGCATCTGTGTTTCTATCCGATTACAATGTGGGTGTCTTCAAGCCAAGCGTGAATAGGCTTTTGTTAAGTCAGTGTGCTTCACCATATTAGGCTAAATCACCACTTAAAATCAGGTGGGAAGTTAGTTAGTGGGTAGTTAAGCGCTGGCTTAGAATAATATAAAAAAAAATTAAGTAAAGTATCAACTTACAGTGGAGGAATCTAAATGGACTAAAACACCACGGTATTTACCTTCTTTTGACTAATGGTCTATTTTTGTAAAGTTCAATTTCTTTTCAATTTTATGCAAGGCTAAGCCCATGCGCGTCTCTCCAAGGCCCTACAGGACAGATAACACATCTCCGGCGTTCACCAGTGATAAGCCAATTAAGAGAAAGGTGAAAACGGCAAAGCTGCGAACCGTTCCAAGTTTAAGCATTAGTTATTTAAAGTAATTGTCGAAAAAACCTCATATTGAAAATGTTATTCAGTTAAGAAGCGTGATAATATTGAATCAAATTTATGCCAAACGTTTCATACTTTTGTTACAAGATAATATCGCTTTCGCCGAAATTGGATTCGTTATTATTAGTGTCCTAGTTAGTAATAACAACCAATGAGCAATATTATGATATATAAGAGTAATACAAGCATTTTAAAAAAGATTTCACATGCATAAAATTTAGTTAGAGAGGTAAGATTAATAATTGTGCTATATGATTATTAAATGTCGTGCAACACGCAATGATATACTGAAGTAATTAACAAATCTTGCCATCATTGAGTCAAGCTATGGAATCTTGCGGAACTTAGAGTTTTTGTATTATATTTGGATCGTCGTAGGCACCGTCCAGAATGTTTGGATCTCTTTATTACAATTGTTTCCTTTATTTTGTTATCATAAATTGTCAGTCACATCGTAGGTCATTGTAACTTTATTTTTATTTTATTTATTTTTAAAACATTAATTTTAATGAAGTTAACGTGTACTCACGATTTGAAAGTATGAAACCTGGCATTCCGGCTCTGGAGTTTTCCTGAAACGTAAAAATTTACTTATGAATTAAGTTGTCCATCCAGTAAAGGTGACCAATACGATTAAGGGACCTTCAGGACAAGAGCCTATTATTTTTTAAAAAGCAGGCAATACATCCGCTATTCCCCTTGTGTTGCAGTTGTTCATGGGCGGAGGTAGTCGCTTACCGTCAGGTGAGCCGCATGCATGTTTGCGTTCTCTCATATAAAAAAAATGTTTATGCACACAAGTTCTGAAGTAAATTCTTGATAAAAAAATCAAGAGTTTTACTTTATTTTATCAATTAATATATTTAAAGGGTCACGTATTTTATTTCCTGGATCTATAAATTTAAATAAGACATTGAAATCATTGGATACCATTAAGCTATTTGCATTTAAACACAAACAACCATTTTTTTTTAAATATTTGTCTATCTGTCTGATTGACGGTCTGTTTGTGAATGGCTACTCCGATTGTGATGAGACATTGGGATTTAGACTGTATTATATCCGAAATACTTGAATTTAAAAAAAGGACGAAAAGTTTATAAAATGTAAACCCATCCAGGCGAAGCCAGTGCGGGTCGCATCAAACGGACCCCTAATATTATTTTAAAAACAAAGTTCTTATTGTGAACATACTTTTCAGTAGCGCCACCAAGTACTCGAAAATTATATATTCTGCATCTCTCAAATAAATGTCAAACATAAATCAAGAATTACATTTCTTATAAATAAAATTAAAGTGTCTGTCTCTAATATCGAAATAAGTGCGTAAGACGTCAATAACCATTTTAAAATTTTTGTCTGTCCAAGCTCATACGAGTATTCGGAATGCCTGAACCAATTGTAATGAAACTTCACGAAAAATATGTCATGTATGTAATATCAGGAGTGATATAACCTATATTTTTATGTGAAAAACTTAACGAAAAATAATGAAATAAATTGTCTTTCAATATCTTCAATCTAAACATGACTAATAAATCCTTTCCAGTCGAAACCAGGGCGGGTTGCTAATCTTTAATATAAAAGAAAGCAATCAATTTTTAGATTCGTGCTGCACTGTTTCAAGGTTACCTCAACTTTTCTTTTTTGTAGCGATGTGATCTAAATATTTATTTATTTATATATTCTTAATTGTACACCTTAACTATAAGGATTACAAATGGCGGATTTAATGCTTTTTGGCATTCTCTCCCAGTCCACCAGGGTAGGCAAATAAAATGTAATCTGTTTTTTAAACAATAAAATAACTACGTAACTTACAATAGTATAACCTCATATAAAAAAGAATTCACCCTGATATTTTTATTAAAAATATATCAACAAAATAAGTGTTACATAATACGCAACCTATTTTACGACGCTAGCAACTATTTTTAATAGGCGGGTTTATATGTCCCATGGATTTGCTATAAAAAACGTTTGTGTAGACACTCTTATGCTGGATATAGACGCACGAAATGAAAAGACCGCAAAAGAGAACGGTTCATCAAAGGCGGGCAAATATGCACGTAGGCTTGACGAAGCCCTTCGCTAACGTTCGGCTGTGTTCCGAAGTGTGCTGGTACATCGAAGGAAAGAGCTATTCGTCGCACATAGTTTGGACACAATGGCGAATGCTCATTCAACGGCTACGATTCTGAAACGGGGACGGCAGTGTTCTAATGAAAAAAAAAAGGTTAATCATTGATTTATATAGAAATAAAACCAATCAATTTGATTCCACGAAGTATATGTTTTTACGAGTATTTATCACATTAGATGTAAAGTTTGTTTAGTGAATAAAGAAATATTTATTATTATTATTATACGACATACTTGCAATAAATTCAGTCAGTATAGCCAACAAATCGCTTTACTCGTGGGGCAATCGCTGTCGTTTGCCGAGTATTAATGCTCTTCGCTAGCGTTCACTTAAAGTCATACTCGTAGTTGGGTTTGGACCAAACGGAAAAGATGGAACAAGATCGTCCTTTCTTAATATTTTAGAGCAAATAAAACTTATATTGGATAATGTGGTTGATACAATAATGGATATGCAACATTAAACGGTCAATACAAAATCATTTGTAGAATAGCGTTTCAGTGAACTTATACATCTTCACTGTTAAGCTATCTCTAGCTTACATTTTTTAAACAAGAAATACCTCGGCTTTAATTTATTTTGTAATTTTTACCAGTCTTTATTTTCTAGTTTAAACTAATTGCACGAATTTTATGTATTGAATAGTTCGTAATAGATTCGTACTCTAATTTATGTGTGTATATAGTAAACAAATTATACGATTATCTCATACTAGACCAATCTGTAAACCACTTGAAATATCGGGAATATATAAATAAATTAATTTAAAATGATTATTTGCTGTAGTTTGTTGCTAATGCTTTAGCAGTAATTTCAAAGAAGCCAGGAAAATCTCCTCAATGTTAATATGCTAAACAGGTCGGCATGCTCTTAATCTCAGAGAATCGTATTATATGTAAAACTACGACACACAAAAAAGAATTAAAAAAATTAAGGAGCTAAAAATATCCAAAAATACATATTTCAAAAAGAAGAAAAGATTGAAACAAAACCAATAAAATGAACACCAAGAAAGGAAAAATCATCAAATCAAATCATAACAAAGTTATCTCAAAGTACTGATAAGAATAAAGAATCAATATTATGTAATTAAACAATCCCCTCAATGTTATTATGTTGAACAGGTCGGCATGCTCTTAACCTCAGAGGATCATATTAAAACAACAAAACGTAAAGAAGAATTAAAAAAATTGAGGAACTAAAAATATCCAAAAATACATATTTAAAAAAGAAGAAAAGATTGAAACAAAACCAATAAAATGAACACCAAGAGAGAGAGAAAATTATCAAATCAAATCATTACAAAGTTATCTGAAAGTAGTGATGAGGATGAAGAACTAATATTATGTGATTCCTGTGGAGTGGATACCTGATGTGGAGAAAATTATTATGAAACGCAACTTATCGAAGAACGTCCTCAATGCCTTGCGTGATAACTGTGGGTACATAAAAAATTCTGAGTTTGATGATAAGTGAGATTAATATGTGGACAGAAAAAGAAGAATGAGCTAAAGGTTAAAAACGTAAAGGAAAAAACTGGTTAGAATGCAGATTAACAAACTGGCCTTCTCTTCCTTGCTACTACAGCCATCTATATCGGGCGCTACGGGAAAGAATGCCAATCATGATTTGAAGAAAAAGTTAATTATGAGACAGATTATGTTAAAATTAAATATTTGAGTGATATTTGCCGAAAGTTAAATTGGAAGTAGATTTTTGTTAATTTATCTATGTAGTTTTGATTTCAATGGCGTCTCATAAGACTATTGCAACTCCCTCGGAATCTTAGAAAGCGTAAAAATTATTTAAATATTCCAAAGGTGGTGGAAAAAAAATATATCAAAAATACACAGTTTTTGACTATAATCTCGAATATGTGCGATACGGGAAAGTGTATACAATCAAAAAATTATATACATTAATTTCACGTAAAAGAGATCTTATCACCTTATCTTTTAAACACTACCTTTTTGTAAATAGAATTGAAAAAAAAAATGTCACATCAAATTTGCATTAAAACTTGAGAAGATAGATGATACATAACTAAAATTAATAATTTTCAAAACCACCGAAACAAAGAGTTGATGATCTTGAAAGAGCACTCTCGATTAAGACACCTTTCAAACAAAAAAAAACTTAATCAAAATCGGTTCATCCGTTCAGGAGCTATGATGCCACAGGCACACATAGATACACATATACACAGACACACATTTCGAACATATAACCCTTCTGTTTTCGCCGGGGGTTAAAAATGCAGGGCCTTTTATGTGTAAAAAGATTTTTTGAAACTTTTTATATATTGCTTATACTTTATGAGATAGTCACCAGAAACCATCTATTTAATCTGTTTTTGGATTTGACAACAAAATGCTGCATGTTCTTTGGATAAAATAAAGCCTAGATAATTCCTCGTATTGCTGTTTATCTGTTCGTGACGTTTCATCACAATCGGCTCAACTGTTCGTAGATTAACTTGGATAGGCAGACAGACTAACTAACAATTTTAAAATGGTCATGTAAATAGCCCGCTGACCCTAATAGAAGCAAGTTATTTCAATATTAGGTATATTGATTGTTCTTTAATTCTTGTAACATCTATGTTTTTTGGATAGGGTGACAAACGAGTACACAGTCCACCTGATGGTAAGTGGTTGCTGTGGCCCATAGACATCCACATATATCCTCAACTACGAATCAAAATAAGATATGCTTATCAACTATCTATTTAAAGCATTATTTTAATTAACAATACGTTTGTATTGTTAGCATGTTAATAAAAGTAATGGTTTAAATGTAGCATTAAGGCGATTTCACTATGTGCTGGCGTTGCTGGAAAATATCAAATTTATGAGACGTAATTTTTATCTTGCTGCGATATATAGTTTTCTATTACAATTTTGAATTTTAAATTTATTTTTATTTGTTATAGCGGCAACAGAAATAAACATTCCGTGAAAATTTCAACTGTCTACCTTTTACAGATCATGAGATACAGCCCACTGACAGACAGACGGACGGACAGCGAAGCCTTAACAATAGAGTCCCGTTGATTACACTTCGGGTACGGAACCCTAAAAATGAGTGTTTGTTGAATAGTATCTAGTATCTATTCATTTATTAGGTTAGGCTGAGATGGTTACCAAAAAACAGAAACATATAATATGTACTTTTATAAAAATCTTTAAAAGCTAATATTTTACATTAGAAATGTTTGTACTCCAAGTAATTCATACACAGTCATTGTCGCTGTCATTAAAATAACATGAAGAGGTTTTCATTAGGATATCTTAACATGAACATACTATACAAAACCTATGAGCATTCAATAATAATATAAGAGTTTAAAAAAAACTGTGATGATCCTGTAATTATTTTATTTTATCCTGGTCATCCTGATTAGTGTACTTGGTTAAAGTTTTTAATTACTGTATTGTCATTGGTCCTTGCAAATTTTCGAGTCAATCGGTCTACAAGTTGACGAAAATTACGTCAAACGATTCCGTTACGTAGATAGATAAATACATGCGAAGCTAATACAAGCGCGTTACAAATTTTACTACCCTTCAAATTCGGAAAAACTGGTAGTTTTCGATAGTAATATATATTTAAGAATAATATATATGAAATAAAAATTCTTGCCTTCATATTGTTGTTTACTTTAAGTTAAACAAATAATCCCATGAAATGCACTGTTTCGGCATAACAAAGTCAGTGACAAATAAGAGTGTTATGGAGAAGTGTAAGTGAGAAAGAGATGATAAATAACCCGATATATTCTTATATATTTTCATTATGTAATGGATGCTGAAAGAGTCAGAGACGTCTTTTTCTTCAGATCATTGAGAGCTAACGTTGTATAATGTCATTTTAAGTGACCTAAACGGTTTGATTATTTTGCCTTCGCTTGTTTAATGGAATGTCTGATCTATTTATTATAAAAAAAATTTATTGCTTACACCCTGTAGCATCTCGTGGGTCTTAGCTTTAAGAAAGTTTTTTGACAAATATGTGTACTGTACTAGTGCTAACCGAAAAAAGCCATCCAGCGCATCGACATTCACACAAATTATAACGAGCAAGAACGGTATGGCAGCGCATAAAATTTGAACAAACAAGCATTAAATTTTATATATTAGATTGAGCTAAAATATAGCTGCAGCGTGGCTCGGCCACGTAGCATACTAAAAATAAAAAATTCGTTTTTATACCAATCAAAATAACTAAAAATATGAAAATTAATCTAGGTATACGCTGTTCACACTGCGTAAATTAAATATGTGTAAAAAATAAAAAAAAATATAAAAAAATTTAAATACTGCGTAAATGAGGACAATTACTTTAAGTTAAGTAAAAAATTGGGGACTACACTAAGCTTTGCCCCAATAATACTAATTATCCCAGCCCCAATAATTCGCATTTTAAATCATTTGTCTTTATATTTAGTCAAATATTTCAATAATTTCTAAACTTATTTTTTGTAATTTTTATATATTTTTTATCATATATTTGTAATATTTAATTATAATAAATTTTAAAGAGATCTCTCTGCCAGCCATGGCGATCGGAATAAAAAAGAATAATGTAGCCCTGTACTAAGCACAGGTCGCCCCTCACATTTCTGAGAGAGTTTTAAGGCAATGATGTATTCGCCATGCTTACAAAGTATTTTAACGCACTTCACATGTCTTTATTTTTCAGTCATGCAGGTTTCCTTGCGATGTGTGTTTTTTTTCTATTAGCGCTGAGCACGCGGTAAATCTGCATTTAAAATTGCCACTATGAATTTAATAGCAAACGCTTAGCCCCTGAGCTACCACGGCTAATTATTATTATTAAATAATTAATTATTAAAGCCAGTAAGGAAAGCAAGTAATATTATTATAGTAAAAGTTTTAATTACATAATAAATTTTTAAAGTGCAATAAAGCAACTCACTGTGGGCTTCAAACGTATTAAAAATCCTATTAAGTATAGTATAGTGGTCAGGATATTAAATGCACATGCTTTTATTTACCATCCAATTTTTCCATCGTCAGATAAAAGTTAAACCAACATTTGTATGAATAACAACAATTATAATTCACTTGTTTCACTTTCATATATTATTTTAATTTATTTGACGGACGATTTACACATAAGTAAATCTCCATTTTTCATCATTATTCTTTTGCATAAAAATTTCTAAACTAATCGCACAGCAAACCACGGTAACAAATGTTATCTTCAATTTTTTATTTTATAATATGTTAAATATAGTATCTAATAAGAAATAGAAAACTTATGTGACCTATGGTAATTCACACTATTGAAATTAAAATTATGACAACTGAATTGCAATATGACATATTTAATACAATTTCAATAATTTTTATTTATACGTAATCAAAAACAAATATTTTGTACTTACTCCTTCTTCTTCTTCGTGCCCATGACTGCAGGTAGAAAGTATAGCCTATAACGTCAATTTATAGATTTATATATTAGTTTGTTGGTTGGTTCCCTTATGAAAGGATTCCCAAGAGAGATGCGCCTGCCGTACGCGGCGGTTATTTACTGTAAAGCACACCAGCGTTTCAGGTCCATATATACTGTCGGATGCTAGTGGATTCCTAATGTAAAATAATTTAAGATTAAACTCTCTTAAACGCCGTTTGTTGTGTACTAACATGGTTATTGAAGTACGTTTGTTTTTATTAAACGATTATAACGTTACGTTGAAAATTACTTATCGCTACCAAGTTATTTAAATAATTAGTAGAGTTATATAATATTAATAAACAGTAAATTACATTGCGTACTTTTATCCCCCTTGGGTTCTCGCCGATTAACCGTGACTGAGGCTAATTTATCAAATAATATGCAAATAAAAATTATTTTCAATAAAAGTTATTTAGCAATCGTTAGTTTTTAATTCGTTATTAAGGATAGCTCTACCCGGGACTTCGTTGGGAAGGAATATTTTTCAGCAATTGTTTTTATTTTATAAACTTCACCTCTTTTATAACACATTTATAGTAATAGTATAAGTATTATTTTTACTAATATGCTAAAAATTTCATCATACAACCAATCAAGTACATGGGTGGCTCTAGCATCCAAGATTCAATAATATATTAACAAAAAACTTAGTAACGTAGAGCCGCGGTAGCCTAGACACTAAATGATCCCTATAAATTTCACATTACGCAAGCAATCTGGGTTCGATACCCGCCAGAATCAATGAAATTGTTATATTTAGGTGATGGTAAGTGGATGTTGTGGCCCATAGACATCTATCTTCAGTTAGGTATCAAAATGCAGATGCAGCAGTTGTCACCTCTGAAGACTAAGATTGAATGCCTCGTGTCCAGTAAAAAGGGTGCGTTGGTTCTTATGTCATTCTTATCCATACGAAACTATTTTACGCTAAAAATTTGTAAGAACGTGGACGCTTCCCGGGGCGGCCCGGCTTATTCGGTTCTACCACGTATAAATTTTTTTTATAGAATGGGGGTGACAAACGAGCACACAGTCCACCTGATGGTAAGTGGATGCGGTAACCCATAGACATCTACATTTATCTTCGATTAATAATCAAAATGCAGATGCGTTGTCACCCCTGTGGGCTAAGATGAAATGCCTTGTTTACACTAAGAAGGGTCTACATTATTACAGTCTAGAATATACACATTTATTATATTATGTACTTTTATTACGCCACTGGGCGTTTATGTTCAGCGGTGGACTTTTGATAGGTTGTAATGAAATAACAATTAAAAATGATATTCGTTGAATAAAACCGTTTAAGCGAAAAACGAATGCGCAACAAAAAAGGCAATTCTTAAATTAGGAGGATAAGGCTAATTAACAGCGATTACACATATTTATATTACATATATATATATATATATATATATATATATATATATATATATATATATAGAACGAAAACGAAAGGAGGACCATGGTAGATCAGGAATAAGTGACCGCAAAGTTCTCGAGTAACCAAAAAAAATATTTGATCAAATTTGGAACTAACGCAATAGAGTCAGTTCTAGGGGAAAACATCGAGACTAACTTTTTTTAATTAAAATAATTATAATAAAATACGTTGTAGTGTAGCCCTCACGATAGTATATATTAGTGTTATGGTAGAATAAGTTTAAGCTATATAATTAAATGAGAAAAATAAAAAGTGATATTTTTTATATCATGGCCAAAAACCAAAATTCAAAAAACTGCAGATGAATTTAAAAAGGAAAGAAGCGGCTGTACTCTTGCAAGCTACGTCCAGAAGAATTTGAAGTTTGAGCCAAAAAGAACACAGAAGAAAATTTGAGGTAACATCGGATCACCGTATTTTTTGTCATCTTTTAAGATTTCTTTAAAAAAAAATTATAACTATTATAAAAAAGTTATGTTTTTAATATTTTGTATCTAATATATGATAAAGTAGTATTTATTAATCAGGTACTTCACGATTTAATTGATTTTTTGTATATTGATTACTATATCTTACAATTTAAGCACTTATGTATGTTAAGGAACAAGACGATTTTAAATTTAATTTTATTCAGTTATTGTTTATTGTTTTATATTATTTTATAACTGTATCCTATAATAACGAATGAAATAATATAGTAGATTACATTTCTACGTACTTAAATTTATCATGGTTTGACATCAATTAAATTTTCTTTAAACACTGATAATATATTTCGTTGTGTTTTTCTTCTATGGTAAATTTTATTTAAATGTAAGTATTGAATTTGAAAAGGGTTAAAACAATTCGGTATTATTATTAAGTGTTAGATTTTCTTTTCTGTTATAAAGGCAGTAAAACTTAAAGTTGTATAGTCTACTTAAAAATTAAAATTGTTCTTTTGAATGTTTAAATTTTTAATGTTATGCTGTGTAAAGTTGATAGGTGTTATAATGATTATTCAATTATTTTCAAACGTTTCCATATACGTACTTTGGTAATTAAAACAAAGGTATCTCAAATCGCGTGCGCTGCTAGGAATGGGATTACAAATTGTAGTTTGATCTATCTGTTGTTATACATTGGCTTCTTAGGCAAGGATATTTTTAATTGAAAATTATTTAATTAATTTTTTTTACCGGTTACGGTCATTCTTTTCCTTGATGAAATTGGTCTCAATCGAAAAACACACACCCAAACACACACACACACACACACACACACACACACACACACATATATATATATATATATATATATATATATATATATATATATATATATATATATATATAATGATTAAATTTTTAATGTTATGCTGTGTAAAGTTGATAGGTGTTAAAATGATTATTCAATTATTTTTTGTAAACGATTGGTAAATATCATACTTCTAGCAATCTTTTTCGATCCAGGCAAAAGTAATGTACCTAACTATCTAAAATTCTGTATATTTAATTTTACTTATATCCCTATATGTATGTAATAAGGTGATCATAATATGATGTAAGAGCAAACGTTTCTTCAAATCTTACGTACTTTGGTAATTAAAACAAAGGTATCTCAAATCGCGTGCGCTGCTAGGAATGGGATTACAAATTGTAGTTTGATCTATCTGTTGTTATACATTGGCTGCTTTGTTCTTAATATGAAATTGAATAATTTATTTTTGGTTTTAGTCTAAGATCCGGCTTAAGAAAATACCCCCTCATTCTTTTCCTTGATGAAATATATATATATATATATATATATATATATATATATATATATATATATATATATATATATATATATATATATATATATATATATATAAAAAACCTACCTAACCTAACCTTTTTCCGTGCCTACCTGTCCACCAGGTGTAAACAGGTAAACTGATATAGTAATTTACCCTCATCCATTTTCCTGAAAAATTTAATGTGTAAATATAGATATTTTTATTGCAAATCCAATGGTATATGGGTATATGGTTGACATTTCAAATCGTAGCAAGACTAGTGATTTACACGATTTAACTTTTCAATAATTTTATTTTAAAATAGAGCGTACTAGAGAACACTATATATTATTATGTGCGGTAGGGAAGGATGCACGATGGCCAGAGCCTGATTAAGAGTAGCGACAGCCCTAGGCTATCTATGAATATCCCTACCGGCCTAGCTATTCTATCCGTGCATGCCCAGGCCACGAAAATATTTACTAGATTTTTATATTTTACAAGCTTTCCACCCCTCGGTTTAATCCACAGTAAATCAAATTTTCCTGATAGGAAGTGTAGCGACCATCGCCCATAAACAACTGCAACACCAGGGAAATTACAGGTGCGTTGCCGGCCATTTTAAAAGGAGTAAGCTCGTTTCTTGAAGGTTTCTAAACGATTTTAAAAAGAAGTCTTGCGAGTGCGAAAACTTCTAGTAACTCACAGTCATGGTGGACTGCCGAGGATTTAGATGGTGTGGATCGTAACGTGAGTTTTGTCACGACGTGCGTGCTGAACAATTTGTCTTAATACTCCCCGTGAAAATTGAGCCAATGAATCGAGCCGATCAGAAAGAACTCGGGTTTTGATGATTCGAGCCACTGTTCGCTGGATGCGGTCAAGTGGAAAGCACTGGGGTGCCCCGAGTAAACCAGTGCTAACTCCGGAGCACCCGTCTTCAGCACAATAGTAGAGACTCCATCCGACCCACTCGACTTGATGACAAGGGAGAGAAAAGCTTTGCACACCGAGCGCTACGTAAACCGCACATCCATCATGGAGCAATCACACCGCGTAATGGTCGGCGTTGTGTACTCCCTTTCATCGAGAGTCGAAAACAACTCAAAAAGAAAACCTAAAAGATCAACTTTCTCCAGCATGGACTAGTAAGTAGTTCTCCTTGTGCAGAGATGGAACACATGGCTGGCAGAAGTTCCCTTGGACAGCATTTACAAAACACTTAATAAAACTAGAGACGCAGAAGAGATCTTGAGCTGTTTAAATTCTTTAAATCATGTCCTGTCAGTAAACTAAAGAAGACATATATTCATGAAATGAAAATCATAAGTATATGATGTACAAAATAATTCAGTATTATTTTTATAACTTATTTTTATCCGTTTTGTACCAAAAAGAAAAAAAGAGCCACAAGTAAAGTACTTGCTGCTCTTAGTTAATTATTTATTGGCAATGTTATATATACTGAATTTTATATTGTACATAAAGGGTGCTTGCAAAAGCAAGCTCAGCGCCCCCTCGAATTTTGCCTAGTTAGCTTGTGAGTAAATCAGGCCTCAGGCCTAGGATCGGGATAAAACCCACGATACCATCTCGATCGATTTACTAGGAGTTTTTGCCCTCGCAAGACTTCTTTGTAAAATCGTTTACCACGTGTGATTTTTCCAGACCTATACGACTTAGATACCTTCAAGGAACGAGCTCACTCCTTTTAAAATGGCCGGCAACGCACCTGAGATTTCCCAGGTGATG